TGGAGAGAGGAGGAGAGACAAAGAGGAAGATCTTCCATCCAATGATTCACTCCCCAAGCAGCCGCAATAGCTGGAGCTGAGCCAATCCGAAGCCAGGAGCCAGGAGCTGCTTCTGGGTCTCCCACGTGGGTGCAGGGCCCCCAAGGCTTTGGGCCGTCCTCGACTGCTTTCCCAGGTCACAAGCAGGGAGCCGGATGGGATGCGGGGCCGCAGTGATTAGAACCGGCACCCATATGGGATCCCGGTACATTCAAGGCAAGGGCTTTAGCTGCTATGCTGTCACATAAGGCCCAGAAATGCATTTTGAAAGGTTTTTGGGGCCTAGTGGGTAGAGCCACCCCCTGTGGTGCCAGCATCCTATATGTCTGCTAGTTCGAGTTCCAGCCACTTCACTTCCAGTCCAGCTCTCTGCTGATGTACCTGGAGAAAGCAGTGGTGGGTGGGCCAAGTGTTTGAGGCCCTGCCACCCATGTGGGAGATCTGGATGAAGTTCCTGGCTCAGCCCTGGCCATTGCAGCCATCTAGGAAGTAAACCAGCCAGTGGAAGGTCACTCATTGCCTCCCACCCTCTTCTCACTTTTCCTTGTGACTTTCAAATATGTTAAACTTTGGGGGAAGCTAGCTGAGGGAACAGGGTGCTGTGCCCCGCAGGGCTCCATGCGGGCAGCTCTGGGGTGCCATTCCCCAGTTAGTGTCTTTGAAGAAGGGCCCTGCCGTCATGGGTCACCCAGGACTCGGAGTTGAGTGACAGAGCCTGGCGGTGACACACACAGTACTTCGGGAACCTGTCGCTGTGGGTGGCTTCACTCGGGCCTGGGCAGATCCTGGCCAGGTTTGCCGGTCACCACTCTGGCCTGCAGTGTTTGTTTTTTCCTTTGCGTGTCTGGCAGGGTAAGCTCCTGACATCCACGTGAGTTTACTAATCTTCCGTGGAATGTGCCAAGCTGAAAGTTTGGAATCGGGAACCCCGAAGAAGGTGGCTGAGCATTAGTGTTTATCAACTGAAGCGTCCTCAAGGTCACGTCCCCTTTGGCCAGGCTGTGCCAAGTAGTGAGTGCAGCCTTCAAGTGGAGGGAGGAGGGGGAGAACAGAGCTGGAGGCTTCCTGAGCCCCTGGGTCTTGGTGGTGCCCCATGTTGGCACTGACCCTGGACTGTGGGTCTGCATCCTCAGGTTAGCTCAGCAAACACCACCCTGGGGCGTGTTTCCGTCCTGGCGGCCTTCAGCGTGACCTGGGGAGCCGGCTGCTGCCGGAGCTGTCCACGGCCTGCTGTGTTAGCCGAGGCTGGGTGACCACAGCCAGCAGCGCTGAGGTGAACCGAGGTGAAGGCACCGCCTTGCTTGTTTTCCAGCAGCAATTATGGGGTCAGTAACACGGGAAGAATCCACCACGGGGCACACTGTGGGGCTTCTTGCAAAGCAGATGGGTGTTTACCCTCTGTCGGGGCACCCCACTTCCCAGCAGCCCAGCCTGCCAGGGTCTCCCTGTGGGCAGCGAAGCAAGCCCCAGGGAGATGGTCGGCAGACTTGGAAGGACGTCTTCCACCAGGCAGGCCACAGCAATGCACCGTGGAATTCTGGGAGCGGGACAGTGCTGACATCGAGGTATCGGAGTGGCCGTTTGGCCTCGTCTTTAGGATTCTGGTTGAGATGGTACATCCCAAATTGGAGTGCCTGGCTGGAGTCTTGGCCTCTGGCCAGCTGTGCCCTCGCAGATGGGAGCTCACTCGGTCTGGAATGACAGAAGGAATGGGCTGGCCTGTGGTGCAGTGGGTTGACCTGTGAAGCCAGCAGCTCGTGTGAACACAGCAGCTCGTGTGAACACTGGTTTGCTTCCCAGCTGTCTCCCTTCCAGTCGGTCTCCTGGCTGGTGCAGCTGGGAAAGCAGTGGGCGATAGCCAGCTGCTTGGGTCCCCAGTCTTTCACATATAAGGAAGGGCATGTGGTATTTGTCTTTACTTGTCTGGCTTGTTCAGCATGTCTTCATTGTGCTGTAAATGACAGAATTTCATTCTTTTGTGTGGCTGAATATCATTCCATTGTGACAACTATTTGGAGCCATGTAAGTTTAAAAACTTTGCATGCATTAATGCAAGGCCTTGTTGGTGTGGTTTATAGTTCATGGTAAGAACTCGGATCCAAGTTGTCCTTGGCCAGATATCCTGGCCCTTCTGCCACAGCCCAACTCTGCCTCCTGTCAGGTGTTTCCCAGCCCTGTCATCTCCATGGTCCTCACTCCAGCAAGCACTTCCCCATCCTTTAAAACAGACCCAAGTAAAAATATTGTAAACATTAAGTGAGGCTGGGTTTTTCTTTTTTCTGACCAACTTCCTATTATAAACATAAGACAGTGATAGGTAGACCCCTGGCAAAAGTTGAGTAAATAATACGTAAATGTAAATTCAGAGGCAGACAGTTAATTTCACAAGATGAGTTCCTTACCTTTCTACCAAAATGAGTCTTCCACAACTGATAGAAGCCATGAAACCTAAATATCAGATTTATTGGAAAGCTCTTGGGACAAAAAATAGATAATAAAAAATCAGTGAATTCATCTTACTTTAAAAATTAGGTAGAAGGTTGGCTATCTGTATGTTAAATGATTTTTCTATACACTTTTTAAATAGTTTTTCAGAAGTTTTAGTTGCCTAGTGTTTTTTTTTTTAAAGATATATTTGTTTACTTACGTGCAGGTCAGAGTTGCAGAGAGGACAGGGAAAGATGGAGAGAGAACGAGATCTTCCAGGCACCAGGTCACTTCCCAGATGGCTGCAGCAGCCGGGGCTGGGACAGTCCAAAGCCAGGAGCTTCATCTGGGTCTCCCAAATGAGTGCAGGGCTCAAAGCCCTTGGGCCATCCTCGGCTGCTTTCCCAGACCTTCAGGAGGGAGCTGGATCAGACGTGGAGCAGTCAAGTCACGAGCCAGGGTTGCATGCAGCAGGTTTAGTGGCCATGCCACAATTCCAGCCGCTAATTAGCTACATCTGTCACTGTGAACTAGTCAACACCCAGTTCCATAACAAAATGAAAATCAGTATAATAGTAAAACCTCAAAATAACTTTCACAAATTGTCTCCTGAATTTTCAACTGGAAAACCCCATCAGCGGCAGCAGAAATAGCCTTTGTTACGTGAATGAAGCAACCCAGACAGGTGAGTGTGAGGTGCAAGATGCCCTGCCTGCCCCCAGCGTCTCAAAGACTGATCTGTCTGACTCTGAAACGGCCACCTTGGCTCTGCAGTATGAACGCACTTAGGAAGGAGGCTCCATTGCCCACTCTACCTGACAGTCCTGTCAGGAATCTCCTGAGTTGTTTGTGGAAGTTGACTATACAGAAGCCAAAAACACAAATGCATGTGTGTGTGCCACTGATGTTCTTCAAACAGCTATGAACTGGAATTGTGAGGTTTAGTCAAACCTCCAGTTGTGCAGAGAGAAGCAAGAGCCTGTTTGTTACTCCTTTCAATGTCCTGTCTTAACATCCTTTCACTAAATGCCTTCACTTACTCATGCGCTCTAACATTCAGATCTCCCTTTGAGAACCCTGTTCTTACCCATCCCAGTGTTTTTCCTCTTCAGTCTTGGCCTTCCATTCATTCCATTATTTTTCTTCCCAAGTCACCTGCTAATTCCATTCTTAGTCTTCCATTGGGCACACTAGACCACATCATCTTGCCATTACAAAAAACAGTCACTCAAGACATGGCATGATAGCCTAGTGGCTAAAGTCCTCGCCTTGCATGTGCATGCCGGGATCCCATATACGCGCTGGTTTGTGCCCTGGCTGACCTGCTTCCCATCCAGCTCCCTGCTTATGGTCTGGGAACGCAGTTGTGGATGACCCAGGGCCTTGGGACCCTGCACCTGCATGGGAGTACCAGAAGAAGTTCCTGCCCCTCTTGGATTGGCTCAGCTCCAACCATTACAGCCACTTTCAGCAGATGGAAGAGCTTTCTCTGTCTTTCACTCTATAAAATGTGTATTTCCAATAAAAAAATCTTTTTTAAAAAGACAAAAACACTCCAACAGTGACAACAGACAAATGACTAGGAACCTGAGTTCACGTCTCATTCCCACCACTCGTTACCCTCAGCTGCATCAGTATAATCTCTGGTTGCAGGTGTTCTGGGTGAACGACCACTGGACTAGGATGTTAAGTGCAGGTTGAAGCATTAAGTGATGTGATAAATCTTTAAGGTTCTTTAAAATGCTTAGAAGAAAAGGAAAAAGAAAACAAGAAAAGCAGAAAATAAAGTTTTAGACATTCAAGAAGATAATAGGGAGTCTTAAACATTGCTAAATTTGGAGCTAGGGTCACTTTGACTGCTTGCTATCTTTATGAGCCTGGGCAATTTTCTGCATATCTGTTAGTTTCCTTACTGTGACAGCTACCCAGAATGGAGCAGCTGCTCACTTCACAGACTTACCTGAGAATTGCAGGAGCTGGATCAGTAGAAGCACTTTTCGATAAAAGCATACGTTGGATGTTTATTCCCCTGACACAAACCTGATAGAAACAAGAAAATGTACCAGTTGTCTGTAGGGTGGACAAGTAGAGCTGCGTAACACTGAGCTGCGGGAATGAATATTGGGCACGGCAGTTAGGCCACCTCTCGAGAGAGTCTGGGTTCAGGTCTGCTCTGCTCCCAGCTCCAGCTCCGAGGAGGCTGCAGGTGATGGCTCACGGAGCATGGTCGCCGCCACATGTGTTAGGGACCCAGCTTGAGGTCCTGGTTACAGCCCAGCTGTTAAAGAGCAGTGGAGGCAGATGGGAGGTCTCTGTTGGTCTCTGTGTCTTACAGGTAAATAAACAAACTGTGAAAAGCTGAGCTGCACATGGGTCCCTGCTCTGGTTTTGAGTATTCGTGATTTAGGGATGTGCTGAGCTGTGCCGTGAAGCACACATGAGCACCCAGTCAGGGTCCCACTCCCCTCCATCTGCTTTCCTGTCATGTTCATTACTACAGCCAGACTGGGTTCTGTTTCCTGTTACCCACCCAGGTGACTCAGGCCCTGCTTCAGTGAATCCTTGCTATGATGGAAGCCATGTGTGTGACACAACAGCACGGTGCCATCCAGGGCCAGGGGCACACTACACCTGCGAGTGTGCACCTGGGTATCAGGGAGACGGACGGAGCTGTGCAGGTAAGAGCTGCGTCGGCTTGTTTCTTGCTGCCCTGGTTTTCTCTCTGCTCTCCTCAGCCTCGTGTCTATAGAGGACAAGTATGTGTCATCTTGTCAACTCCCCGATTCATGGTTTTAGAGACTATAATCTGAATAGTTACTTAAAATCCAGAACTCAGTCTCACAGTTTGGACTCACATATATGGGGCTGGGGCTGTAAAAACATGTGCTACTATGGTGGAATATTTTCCATGTTGTTGATTTGAGCCACTATAGCCTCCCTCCCTCCCTGTTGGCATGTTTTTCCTCTGAGCACCCATTAAATGTTTAAAGAATTCTTAGAATGTCCATTCAAAACATACCTCCCTGTGGCTCACCCTAGATGACTGGGACTTGGTGTTGGTTTGATGATCTGCAAGTGCATTCATACTGGATGCTCAACAGTCCTGCATTTCTAGTCCTGTCCAGTCCACTGAGCACCCGTCCCACTAAACATCGCAGGGCTGAGACAGCCGAGTCTTCAGCCCTTCCATCCCCGGAACCTTTGAAGAAGCAACACTTTGGTTCTCATTTCTTTCTAGATATGAACGAGTGTGCAGCTGGCTTCCATCGCTGTGGTCCCAACTCCGTGTGCATCAACTTGCCTGGGAGCTACAGGTGTGAGTGCAGGAGTGGTTATGCATTTGCTGAGGACCAACACACCTGTGTCTGTGAGTCACAAAATCATTTTTCTCTCTGACCCAAATAGTGCTGAATCTTGCTCTTGATGTTTTTGCTTCTGCTGTCCAACTCTCCTATGTGTTTTTCTTATTTATTTAATCTTACGTATTTGAGAGCTAAAGACTGCCCACCCACTGGTTCATATTCCAAATGCATGTTATAGCTGCAGATGGGCCAGGCCAAAGCCTGGGGTCCTGAAACTCAATCCAGGTCTCCCAGATGGGTGTCAAGGACCCAACTACTTGAGCTGACATGACTGCCTCCCAGGATATAAATCAGCAGGACACTGGACTCGGGTGCAGAGCTGGGACTGACACCCAGGCACATTAGTATGGGAAGCAGGCATCCCAGCAAGCGGCCTGACACCTGCCCCAACACCTCCTCCTGGTTTTCCTGAAAACATAGTTGACACTGATAGAACCCAGCAGTTTGGCTCAGTTTATCCTTTTTGTTTGTGTTGTTTTCCCCCAATAGTTATTTTAGGATCTAGGTCCCAGAATAGGGTATTCTCAGGGTGGGTTTCCTGGCCCAGACATGGAACAGGGTTATGAAGATGTCTGGTCAATACCCCCATCTCTGGAAGAAGATCTGTTGCTTCTCAAATTGGAGTTGGGCAAAGGTTACTAGCAGCACTGTAAGTTTCAAAGAGTACATGGGTACTGAATTTTCATGCCTACTTTTTAACGGTTGATTGCTTTGAAAGGCAAAGTGACAGAGAGGGAAAGAGAAAGATCTACATCTTCCATCCACTGGCTTACTTCCCACCCGGGTACGATGGCCAGGACCCTGCAATTCCATCTACCCATGTGAGTGGCAGGGCCTCCAGCAGTTGGGCCGCCTTCTACTGCTTTCCCAGGTGCAATAGCAGGGAGCTGGATCAGAAGTGGAGCAGCTTAAACTACATCCCATATGGGATGCTGGAATTTCAGGCTGTGACTTAACCTACTATGCCCAAACACTGGCCCCTCATGTCTAATGTTTTAGCCACAAAGTCATATCAGCACTTCTCAAACCTTAACTTGCATGTGACCATTTAGAAAGATTGTTAAAATTCAGTCTCTGATGTTCCTAGATAAGGCCTAAGAACTTGCATTCTTTACAAGCCCAAGGTGGGTGGCTGCTGTAGGCCTACAGGTGGTGCAGGGCTCACACCTCCCAGGCATGGCATCATGGGCACCCTTGCCTTCCTGACTTTCAGTGATTGCCCCTCCTTCCAACCCCTGTGAGGATGGCACTCATACCTGTGCACCTGCTGACCAGGCACGATGCATCCACCATGGAGACGGCACCTTCAGCTGCACCTGCCTGCCTGGGTATACCGGCAATGGGCACCAGTGCTCGGGTAAGTACCTCTTGGTCAGCCCTGGCACGTTTGCAGACTCACCTAGGATGCACAGCACCATGTCAATTTGCTCCCTTCTTTGGCCCAAGCAGATGTTAGGAGCAAGGCAGAGGTGGCCTTGTGTAGACAGTGGGGCCCACAGCACTTATCCCTGGCTAGGTGGGGAGCCTGTCTGGTCATTTCTGGAGGAGGCTTGCCAGGGGTACTATGGGACGGCTGCAGGGGAACCCAGCACATCCCACGTACTCTGTAAGGAAGTCCCCCTTCCTTCAGTTGCTCCAGCTATTCTAATTGCTTAATTCCAAAAGTAAACAGTTACTTCCCGAAACCCTTGCATGAATCAGGCTTGGCTCATGACAGGAGACACTCGTGGGATAAATGTATCGGCATATGTGTCCCCAGTGTTTAAGATTCACCTTCTTACAGGCAGAGTTAGAGATCTGTCCATTGATCTTCCTTCTGTTGGTTCACTCCCCAAATAGCTGTCACAGCTGGGGCTGGGCCAGTCCAGAACCTAAAGCCTGGAACTCCATCTGGGTCTCCCATGTGGGTTCAGGAGCCAAGCACTTGGTCCAACCTCTGCTGCTTTCTCAGGCCATTAGGATTGGAAGCAGATTGGAAGCAGAGCAGCTGAGCCTCAACTGTCACCCATTCGGGATATGGCGTCACCAGTGGAGGCATAATCCACTGTGCCAAAGTGCCAGCCCCAGTGTGTTCAGAGCTGAACACATGTGTCTCACCCAGGGAACACGCTCATCCAGGAGGAGCCAGGAACCAGGAACTGCATCTGGGTGCTGGATAGAAGCTGTGCTGTGGGGAAGGCGTGCATCAGTGCAAACTCACACACAGGTGCTCACTCCCTTGACCCAACCGTAAGAAGGTTATGAGTGTGTTAGTACCGGCTGCACTTGGATTTGGGGTTTCAGTCTGCTCTGAGCCAGCCAGCAGGAAGGCCTTGATTGAAACAAGGTTAAATCTTCCCTTCGCTTCTTTCCACCTAACTGGCTTCAACTCTGCATCTGAATTGGGCATGGCAATTGTGCTCGGCAACTTCTCTGGGAGCAAAAGCAGCATGTCCCGACGGACAGCCTGTGACCCAGGGCCAGTGTCACTCGGGAGAGCCGTGAGAGGCAGTAGTTGTGAGTCACTGCTGCTCGAGCTGGGTTCTCAGAAACCGCCTTGAAGTTATTTAATCATTGCACAGGCAGCCTAGAGTGTGCCTGCACTAATGAGGGTGGCAGCAGTGTCACTGAATGGCATCTTTTTTTTTTTTTTAGGAAGATTGTTTGGTCAGATGGATTGAAAGCAGGAGTTACAGAAAGAGAGGGAGAAACAAAGATCTATCCACTGGTTTAGTTCCCAAATGAATGCAGTAGCTAGGACTGGGTCGGGCTGAACCCAGGAGCCAGGAAGGAACTCCAGTTGTGTCTGCTGCATGTTAGAGGGGTCCAAGCCCTCCAGCCATCTTTTGCTGCCTTCCCAGGCACTTAGGTTGGCAGCTCAATTGGAGGTGAGCAGTCAGGACTTGAACCAGTGCTCACATGGGTTGCTGTGGTCGCAAATGGCGTAAGCTGTTGTCCCACAGTGCTGACCCCAGATTCCCTAATCTTACAGGACCATTGTGGTACCTGAGTTCTGCATTTGACTGAAACATTGTTACATGACACACACCAGATGTGAAAGGTGTGGTAAAGTCAGCATGGTCACAGAAGAGACAAAAATGGAGAGTGAAAAGTCCATTCTGGTCACAGAGGAGAGGAAGGGCGGGTAACTGTGCTACACAGGGGCCCCCGAGGGGCTTGACCAGGCACACTGGGGGAGAGCTGGGGCCAGTGACTGGAAGTCTTGTCGTAGGTTCCAAGTGGGCTAGAGGTACATTGGTGCTGGAGAATTGCTGCTGGGCTTAGCAGCAAACAGAAGGGCGCAGGCGTCTAGCCAAGTGCTAGACTCTGGCTCTCAGAGCTTGGGTTGGAGTTCTGGCCACAAACCTGAGCCTGCTGCTCACACACCCCTGGTGGGGCAGCACTGAGCAGTCGTTAGGTCCCTGCCACCCATGGGGGAGTCCTGGATGGAGTTCCTGGTCCTGACTGTGGCCTGACCAAGCCCCAGCTCCAGGGAGCACTGGGGGCGTAGTCAGCAGATAGAGCGCTCTGCCTGTCTCTCTCGACAACATTTTTATTGAGAAGCAGATGAGAAGGGCCCGGGCTCTGCGGTTGGATGACCATCACAGAGTTACAGTCAGTTTTCAGCACAGGACCGTCAGAAGGATGTTGCAACATGAGAGCAGGAACCTGAATGGGAGGGTTTTTGTGTGTGTATGTATGTATATATTTACTTATTTATTTATGATTTTTAAAACATGGACCCTTTATTAAACAACCAAAATCACCTGAGTTAAATAATGCTGATCTTTTAAAACATTGATGTAAAATAGAGCTTAAGTAATTAGAATGCCCTGGACAGAACAGAACCTAGGAGTATTTATTGACATGTGAATTTTAAATCACTGTATACATTTCATTTATGTACATTTTTGAGCTTATAGAGATCTTTAAAAATACGGAGCTCTTCATGAATTTGTTATTCTAGCACACTACTCACTAATCTGCTCTAGGCCCCTCCACGTCCAGTGCATGTGCTGCCAGAGCGAGCGGCACTCCCATCTTAACAGCTGCTCTCCAGCTTCCCAGGAGCCCAGTCCAAAGTTCATGGAAGGACCTGGTAGCATTGTGGCATGGCGTAACAGGTTTAGCTGTCCCATACAGTGCCGGCATCCCAAATGAATGCTGCCTCATGTCCTGGCTGCCTCAATCCTTCTCCCTGCTAATGGCCTGGGAAAGCAGCAGAAGATGGCCCAAGCAGGAGACCTGGAGGAAGCTCCTGGCTTTTGCCTGGCCAAGCCCTGGCCAAGGCAGTCATTTGGGGAGTGAGGCAGAAGATAGAAAATGTCTCCCTTTCTTGTTGTAACTCTACCTTTCAATACAATTTTTAAAAGTTCACGTAAAATGGAAATATAGGTTGAGTTTATTTTGGCATACAATGTTTGGGATCCATGACAGTGTTTTCATAGCATGCATTTTCTTTGAACTTTTAAAAAAATTTTATTTATTTTACTTGAAACCCAGAGTTATATATAGAGAGTGAGAGACAGAGAGATCTTCCATCTACTGGTTCACTCCCCAAATGGCTGCAACAGCCAGAACTAGACTGGTCTGAAACCAGGAGCCAGGAACTTCTGGATTAGCTACCTGGATGCAGGGGCCCAAAAACTGGACCATCCTCTACTACTTTCTTAGGCTAGATTGGAAGTGGAGCAGCCGGGACTAGAACTGGCACCCACATGGGATGCCAGCACCACAATGAGAGGATTAGCTTGCTGTGCCACCATGTCAGCCCCATCCATGAACTTCAGAAGAACTCTTGGACGTGCGGAGGTTGATGATGGTGTGGGGAACCGTGCTGGAACTGAGCCGCCTTTCGAGGGATGAGTGGGCCCTGCTCACTCTCAAACACCACTACCGTGACCTCCATCTTTTCTCAGGCTCTAAGAAGGCAGTGCCCACCCCAGCTCCACCATCCCAATGGCTCAGCAAGGAAAGCCAGTCCCTGACCAGCTGGAAGTGCTCCCAGGTCTTCTTTCCTGACACAGGACATGCTGGGCAGTAGGGGAGAGTGCTCCCTGTCCATAGGGCCAGCGCCTGGTCTGCTGTGGAGTGAGGCAGGCCTGTGAGCCAGGGGGCCCCAGCCTCGGCCACTTTCTGGGAACTGGGGTTTCTCCCTCGTGATACACCATGCTGCCTCACAGGTTTTCCCTGTTTGTTGGGTCACTGATGACCATTGTCGTCTGCCCATGATGTCAGCATCTGAGACAGTGGCACATGTGTTGGGGAGCAGAGTAGGATGAGGTCTGGACTTTTTGAAGATGGAAATCCCTCAGCTTCAGGCTTTAATCCATGGTTTGGTAGCTTTGGGGAATCCCCTCTTAATTCAAAAGCGGCCACAGGACACTGCTCCTTGGGTTCCAGAAATAGGCCCCGTGTCTCAGGAATTCCTGCTTCCTGTTCCCGCATGGGCTTCCTGCCTTTGGCCAGATCTACATTTGTGCAGCCTTGGCCAGCAGCCAGTTCAGCAGCCACTTCCAGCCCAAGGCACTGGGTGGTCATCTACTTGCCCAGCCGGCCATCCGACATCGAGGCTGAGTAAATCTGAAAGTAGCGGTTCATTTTCTGTACCCAAGAGGCTAACCAGATCACCTGGTTTGGCTCGTAGCTAGTCAGCTTCCTTTGGAGAATGAAAGTCAACCGGGAGGCCAGCCTCACCCAGGAACAGCCTTCCCAGGTGGCCTTGGCCTTGGCTGTGTTGAACCTTCAGGGTTCTGGGACTCCAAGGAAGTTGATGTACGAAGGTCCTTCAAAAAGTAGAATTCAAGGGTAGTGTACTCATTTGAGGGAGGGTAGTTGTTTTTCCTGGTGGGTATTGCCCATGAGCATTTTGAAGAATGTGGTTGTGTGAATCAGTTCAGCAGTGTAAGCAGCATGCCGATTTGCTCGTTGTAGCTAGAGAGAGCAGCCTGCCTCTGGTGGGTACCCCATGTGTCTGTTGGTGGTTGGCATGAGGAGGTGGCTCGGTGAGCTGAGGCCAAATGAGGGCCTGGTGAAGATCCCTAGGGAGAGTCCTGGGTCCAGGGACACTGCATGAGGAAGCACGCCTGTTGAACTTGGGATTCCCCAGGCTGAGGCCAGCCTCTGCCGCCGGCTGGGCTGGAGGGACCCAGTTCGTTCCTGTCAGGGATCACAGCACCCCCGCCCAGATCTCCCTCATTCACATGGATTACAGAGTAACTCCTGACTGTTACTGCGGCTGTGGCTGCTGCTTGCTTTGCTGCTTTCAAGGCCAAGCCCCAGTCAGCTCTCCGCCCTTTCTCTGGGTGCTCATTTTAACCGGTCACCTCTGAGGCATGGGGGTGGGGCAGGTGACCTGCAGTTGCCCCCAGGTGCTGCTTTTTAACAAATACAACAAAAGGAATACAAAGCAGTTTTGCCTTCTTGGGAAACATGAACAGCAGTTCCCATTCCACCATGTGGACAAGGTGCAGATGCCTGGTAGCATTCACAGCAATGTGGGGTCGGAGGACGGCTCCATTCCTGTGCCAAAGCTGTGAATCTCAGCATAGGTTTTCATGAAACACATGTTCCAGTAGCCTTTTGCATTGTCATGTACTGGACAGCCCTGGCAGATTTAGATTTTCCCTCATGTGCTGTACCACACTACTCATGAGAACATTCTAATTTTCCCTCTTGGAAAAGTGGGAAGGACGGAAACTTGGGCGTGCTGTGAGGGATCCAGGGAGCAGGCCTCGGGAGCTGGATTGGTGTGCTACTTGGTTGAGGAAGTATTGGGAACCTCACCTGGCTGTTTTCCATCCGTGCATGAGTGACAGGTAGATGACGCCAACACCAAAAGGGAAAATAAACCCACACCCATTGTTTCATGTGGCTTGTCCTCGTGGCGCTGTTGCTGAGTCAGAAGGTGTCCCAGAGACAGCAGCAGGCTCTGTGGTGCAGTCACCTGGTGGATTTCGACACTGAACTTGGGTAGCCTTCCCAGAGGCCTCCTGACATGGGCAGTCTCTCTGGATCTGCGTGTTGTGAGACCACAAGGGGGCGCAGGTTGGTGGGCAGTCCCTGTGGACTTGTGTGTCCTGAGGCCACAAGGGGGCGCAGGTTGGTGGACAGTCCCTGTGGACTTGTGTGTCCTGAGGCCACAAGGGGGCGCAGGTTGGTGGACAGTCCCTGTGGATTTGTGTGTCCTGAGGCCACAAGGGGGCGCAGGTTGGTGGACAGTCCCTGTGGACTTGTGTGTCCTGAAGCCACAAGGGGGCGCGGGTTGCATGCCATTCACATGTCCCACCTCACGGCCTTGCCCTCTCTCCCACTCACTCTGTGCCCGCTCTCTGCAGATGTCGATGAGTGCTCCGAGAGCAGCTGCCACCCCGCAGCAACCTGCCACAACAGCCCAGGCTCCTTCTCCTGCCACTGCCGACCTGGTTACCTGGGGGATGGATTCCAGTGCGCTCCTGGTAAGGCTGCGGGTGGGGCAGGTGCAGCCCATCTCCCGGCCCTCCTCGGGACTCCGGCCCCTTCTGCTGTACCCGAGGGTTTTCGAGGCTCTCAGCTTTTTTCATGGTTACTTTTCGCTGTCTACTTCACTGTGAGTTCACTGGTTACTCACACTGCGGGCGGCCTGCAGCCAGACCCAGCCAACCCTCCTACCTAGGAGTAGCTCTGGCTCACCACCCAGTGAGTGACCTGCTTTGCCTGCATGAGATGTACATGCAGAATTGAGGGGCACCTTATGAAGCAGGTGCCAGTGTGCTGGTGAGCCTGGCCTGCGTGCCCCGGGCGCCCGCCTGGCTGTCGCACTGCCATCCCATGTCTGCCGTTGATCTGGAGCTTCTCGCTCGTGAACTCCGGCGCGGGGTGGGGGGCGGGGGGTGCGTAGATGCAGAGTGACTTGTAGATGTACATGGGGTAGATGCAGATCGACGTGGCAGCAGATGCCCTGGCGCGATCCTCACTCCCATCCCTTCCCCAGATGCAGCAGGTCCCTGGGAGCAAAGAAACAGGATACTCGCCAACCTCAAGGTCTCCTGTGTGGAGGCTTGATTAATGAATTTATTTTTAATTGGAGACAGCTTGACATGAGACAAAGCAGCACACCAGGCCGTGGGGTCCAAGCATCTTGTTTTATTTCTGCCATTGCCTACTTGGTTTTGCCCAGGCCTCTGGCTCAGCCTGGGATGCCCCAGGAGCCCCCAGGGTTAGCTGGCAGAAGCAGGCCTTTGATTCTCACTTTGTGTCTCCCTCTGCCTGGCTCCTGCAAGACCCCAGCTCTGGGCTGAAACCCTGTGAACTGCAACAGCGCCTTGCCCAGGCCCAGCACACCCACCCGGGGGCCCGGCTCCACATCCCGCAGTGTAGCGAGCAAGGCGACTTCCTCCCGCTGCAGTGTCACGGCAGCACTGGCTTCTGCTGGTGTGTGAACTCCGACGGGCACGAGGTCCCTGGCACCCGGACCCCACCTGGCTCCACCCCGCCGCACTGCGGACCACCTCCAGGTGAGCCCAGCGGGCCCGACTCGCCCGCAGCTCCAGAACAGGACATGGGGTGGAGGAGCAGCCACCAGGGCTGTGCACGAGAGGCTGGGCCCCATCCTTGGGCAGCCTGTTGCAGGATGCGTCAGTGAGGTATGCCCACCCGTAGGCACGGCATGCTATAGGAAGCGCAGATTTGCACATGTGGCATACAGGATGTCCTTTATACCTTGGACTTCAGGCTCTCAGACCTTTGCCAAGTGCAAGAGCAGAGGTTGAGACTGAGTGTATGGATCGGGTGGTGGCCCCTGTGTGGCCCTCGGCGAGCCCGGGCATCCGCTCAGCACTTCGTGCAGAGGAAAACTGGCTTCCTGTGGAACTGGGTCGCATAACTGCCATCCGAATTACAGGAAGCCATATGAAGGTATGTTGAGAGGGATAGGAAAAGGAACCCACAGGGATTTTTAAAGGTTCATGGAAACGATTCATTATGAAAATTTCAGACATTTCTGGCTAAGGTACATGTGATGAACAAACTGCATGGCTTTGAGTTTCTGCACACAAGCCATCTTGCCTTTGGATTCCACTTTCCTGGGACTTCTTAATGCCCTCAAGGCCCCAGGAGTGCATCCAGCTTGTTTTCTCTTGCCTGACATCCCCAGCCATCCCTAGCAGTGGCCAGCGAGCCTGCCACGGGCATCCCGTTGCTGCCTCTGGCACGCACAGAGCCTGAGCTGCACCTGTTGCAGTGGGCTGTTATCCTCGGGACCCGCTGCTCTGGTGGGACATGGGTATTGAGTGGGCACGGCAGATGCCAAGGGTAGGCTTCTGGACAGCTTCCTGCTGTTCTCGGAGTTACACAGCAATGGTAGAGCTGTGATTATCACTGTATCACAAATGTAGGAATGGTTAGCTGCCATTTTCCCTCATGTGGTTGTGATGTGTGGGAGCTTGCCAGTCATGGGCCCCCGGTACTATTGAGAAGACTTCCCGAAATACAGTTAGGCCTTCCCAGCTGCCGGGCCCAAGTTCTGACAAGTGAATTATCAAAGGGTTCGTCTTCATGTCATGGGCAGAATGCCCGTACACAGCCCTAGAAGGCATAGATCATTCACTCGATGGGGCCTCTTCTCATAGGCAAGAGACATGGGTCAGGAACCAGCATTGTGTTGTAGCAGATAAAACTGCTGTCTGCAGTGCTGGCATCCTGTATGGGCACCGTTCCAGTCCTGGCTGCTCCACTTCTGATCCAGCTCCCTGCTAATGTGCCTGGAAAAGCAGAATATGCATGAAGTGTTTGGTCCTTGCCATCTGCCTTGGAGACCTGGAAGAAGTTCCTGGCTTTGGCCTGGACCAGTCCTTACCATTGTGGCCATTTAGGGAGTGAACCAGTGGAGGAAAGATTTCTCTGTCTCTGCCTTTCAATAAATATTTAGAGAGAGAGAGAGAGAGAGAGAGAGAGAGAGAGAGAGAGAGAGAGAGAGACCTGGTAGCCATGAGCTCTGTGCGGCTGCTGCCCGTGTGACGGCATGAGGTTCTTACAGCAGATGTCTTTATAAGCAGGAGGAGAGCACTGAAATGGGTGGGGCTCATCCAGCCGCAGGTGTGTGAAGCCTCTGAAATCATTTGGTGTGAACCTGCCGAGGCACCTGTGGATAGAACTCGATTATACTCAATTTATGGCAGGCTCTTTTTTTTTTTTTTTTAATTGGAAAGGCAGATATACAGAGAGGAGAGACAGAAAGGAAGATCTTCCGTCCGATGATTCACTCCCCAAGTGAGCGCAACGGGCCGATACTATGCCGATCCAAAGCCAGGAGCCTCTTCCGGGTCTCCCACGCGGGTGCAGGGTCCCAAAGCTTTGGGCCGTCCTCGACTGCTTTCCCGGGCCACAGGCAAGGAGCTGGAAAGGAAGCGGGGCTGCCGGGATTAGAACCGGCGCCCATATGGGATCCCGGGCATGCTAGGAGAGGACCTCAACCACTTGCGCCACCGCGCCGGGCCCGCAGGCTCATTTTTAAGCTAATAATTGTGTGTGACTCATTAGAAATAACCAAAGGGCCCTTGGCAATAAAAAAGGTTCCCTACTCCAGCTCTAATATGATGAAAAGTGTAATAAATACATAAACCAAAGTTTTTTTTAAAGGCTTACTTATTTGAAGGGCAGAATTATAGAGAGTAGGGGAGAGACATCCTTCATCCACTGGTTCACTCCTCGAACAGCTGCAACTGCCAGAGCTGGACCGTTCTGAAGCCAGCAGGCAGCAGCTTCTTCGAGTCTCCCACCTGGTACGGGAGCCCAGGCCCCTGGGTCATCTTTCACTGCTTTCCAGGCAAACTAGTAGGGAGCCAGATCAGAACGGGAGCAGCTAGGACATGACCCAGAGCCCATCTGGGATAGCAGCATCGCAGGCAGTTGCTTTCCGGCACTGGCCCTAAGTTGCAGACATGTTTGGGATGGGGCCGTGCAGGGTGGCTGAAAGTCTGCCAAGGCAATGAGCGGAGTAGGGCCACATTCTTTGGTATTGACTTGCTTGTGCCCAGACTTCCCTCTTGGCTCTGGTCAGGCCTTGGCTGCCATTCCCGAGCTGCTTCGTCTGTGCAGCAACACCCGCTCAAAGCAGGTGAGGATGCCTGCTCAGTCCGAGGCAGAGGACATGGCCAAAGCCAGAATGAGAAGTAGCGATGGAATGGGGAGGGCCCCTTCCAAGCCACCCGAGGGGACAGCTGTTCCCCAGAGCTTGGCACGGTGCCCAGTGAGAAGACCCAGCGGGAGCCGCAGGTGGGGGATGGCCAGGGCGGTGGGCTGGAGGTGGGGAACGGTGAGGAGAGCATGACCATGGAGCTGCAAGCTCTCGTGGCCCATCACACCACGGGCAGAGCAGCGGAGGAGGCCTGGCCAGGGCGTCTGAGCCATGGAGATTGGTGAGGCCGCTGCTGACTGGAGACTGGGACAGGGGCAGGCTTGAGGGGACAGGTTCTGGGGTCATACCACGGGTTCCGTCATGTATCTGGAGAGCCTATGGGTGCTCGGCTGAGTGACCGCAGAGTGTAAGCTGAGTGACCACAGAGCGTAAGCTGAGTGGCAGGAATTGAAAAGGAAGAAGCACCATCCTTCTCTTTGAATTCTTTGGATTACGCTGCCACAGCAATCATTTCGACCCCTACAGCAGCATCTTCAGATGGAGTCACCATGGTGGGGACAGCACTTCTGGCAGAAGCCTGGCTGGAGACTGCTCTATGGCCCAGACTAGCTGGATTTGCTGATTTGTTTGTATTTTTTAAAAGATATTTTTTTCTTGAAAGACAGAGTTAGATCTTCCATCCACTGATTCTCTCCCCAAATGTCTTCAACAGCCAGGGTTGGGCATCCTCCACTGCTTCCCTAGGCACATTAGCAGGGAGCTGGATCAGAGGTGGAGCATCTGGGACTCCAACTGCTGCCCATAAGGCAGAGGATTAGCTTGCCCCCGAGTGTGGCCGGTCTTTAACATGGCAGTGAGGGAGGGGCAAGGAGGGGAGGACACTGAGAGAGTGGGGCTGTGACACTGTGACAGGGTGCCAGGGATCGGCAACAAGGGGTCTGCTTTGAGGGTGGCCCTGGAGCAAGATGACTGAGACTAATGGGAATGGGTTGTCCTGAGAGTCTGCACAGCTGTTTCCCACAACTGCATCATGCTTCGCTCACTGCCGGCAAGTTGTCCACAGACACAGATGCCCCGGGCAAGGCCAGGCTCTGGGTGATGTCCTGCAGGGAGCACAGGCCACTGTGCGGTGGCAGGTCCTGGAACAAGCGGGAGAGGGCGGGCTTTAAGGTGAAAGCCACTTGCAGAGCATGCTCAGGCACTGGGCTAGGAGTGGCCTGTGGGCCTCTCGTGACCAGAGCCAGCTTGCTGCCCTCCACACTGCACACCTGACCTGTCTGTTTTTCCATGTGGCCTTGATGGACCTGGCCCGAGGTGACAGAACCACAGTGAGTGCCACAGAGAACTCCCAGAACCACCCACTTCCCTGGTGCAGTCCTCAGGGGCTGGCTGAGAACCTGGTGCTGGGCAGAGGGCAGAGGGCAGAGGGCAGAGGTGGGGGGTCATGAGCCACCTGTCAGCCTTTGCTGGTCTTCCTGTCGGGTGGCACTTATTCCTGTCTACCCAGGACCAACCCAGAGGCCCCGGACCGTGTGTGAGCGCTGGAAGGAAAGCCTGCTCGAACACTACGGGGGCAGCGCCCGGGACGACCAGTACGTGCCACAGTGTGATGACCTGGGCCACTTCGTGCCCCTGCAGTGTCACGGCAAGAGCGACTTCTGCTGGTGTGTGGACAAAGACGGCAGAGAGGTGGCAGGCACACGCTCCCAGCCGGGCATCACTCCCGCATGTAAGCACTCGGGCTGCCCTCCCTCCGGGCAGTGGGGAAAGATTGCCAGGAGAGTCGCTCAGATGCCAGGTCAGACCCTAACCATCTGAACGAGGTGCTGGGGTTTGCCCTTAACCCTTTCTGTAAAGCAGACATGTGGCGTGTAGGGCACCGGAGAACACTGCAGGACACGTGCCACGCTGGGGTCCCAGGAGAAGCACAGCATTGGCTGATTTTTCTCCCCCAGTGATTTATTGTTATTTGAAAGGTAAAGCTACAACAGAGAGAATCTTCCATCTGCTGGGTCATCCCCAAGTGGCTGCAACAGGCAGAGCCGGGCTTGTCCAAAGTTGGGAGCCAGAAGCTTCTTCGGATCCCCCGTGTGTCAGGAGCCTAAAGGGTTGGGCCATCTCCCATTGCTTTCCCAGAAGCATCTGCAGGGAGTAGGATTGGAAGTGCAGCAGCTGTACTCCAACCAGCTGACGCCGTCAGCAGAGGTTTCATATGCTACACCAGAGTTCTGGCTCTTTTTTTTTTTTTTAGTATTTGTTTCTTTGAAAGTCAGAGTTAGGTGGGGGGAGAGATACCAAGAAAGATCTCCCATCTGCTGCTTTACTCTCCACATTGCCACAGTGGCCAGGTCAAGGCCAGGAGCTTCTTCAGGGACTCCCACGTGGGTGCAGGGGCCCAAGCACTTGGACCTTGTTCTGTTGCTTTCCCAGGCACTTTGGCAGGAAGCTGGTACAAAGTGGAGTAGCTGAGACTCGAACCAGCACCAACAGGAGATGCAGGCATCACGGGTGGCAACTTGACCCCCTCACAGCCCGCTGCTTTCCCACACAGGTCTCCCTGGGACGGTGCCTCCCCCGATGTTGCCCATGCCGCGGCCTGATGTCACTGCTCCGCCCGTGGGTGACTTCCTGCTCTATGCCCAGGTGCAGCGCATCGGCCAGGTGCCCCTGCAGGGCACCACGCTTCTGAAGGACAAGGCCAAGACCCTGCTGTCAGTGCATGTAAGGGGGACTTCTCCCAGCCAGGGGTGGGGCCTGCACCCCCACTGACTTGGCCAGAAGGCCCGGCCTCCACACCCTGCTGGCCAGCTCGTGCCAGGCAGCATGCTGGGACTGACCAGGGGCATGGCCGCCTCCAAGCCTGTGCAGTCATCCTGCTCCACGCTGTCCTTGCTCAGGGCTGAGCGGGTCCCGGAGCGGGAAGGCCAGCAGTGGTGCCAGAGTCGTCTCCCTCATGGGTGGGGATACCTTACTGGGGAGGCCCTTTCTCCTTCCCCACTATGCAAAAATGGCCTCTCTATAGGGAGGGGCGGTACCCTATAATAAGGGGCCTGCTGGCTCGGGAAGCAGGAGCCGTGTCCTAGGGACCCTGCTCTTCAGCTGGGAGGTTAGGCAAAGCAGGTCCCAGAAACGGCCAGGGGACCTCAGCTGCACAGGAGCCACACCCTGTAGGGCTGCCACTTCGGGGAGGAGGGGGTCTCTACCCCGTGGCTGCGACTGGGGACTAGGGTTCAGTGTCCATTTTCCCTCAATGAGCCAATCCACAGAGTGGCCTTGGCTGGTCAGTCTGAATGATAAACCCATGTTCCTTTTGGCATGGGCTTCAGGTCCACATGGACAGTCCGTGGCCCTGCAGCCCAGCACTTCCCCGTCCACAGCCACTTAAGGAAAAATCTGGGACTGGGACATTTTGTTTTCCTCTGAGAACCCTGGCAGTCAGTGGACATGAAATCCCCTCTTCTCCACTCATCATTTCTTGAGCGGATATCAACCAGGGCCCCAGGCCTACAGTGTTTCTCGGACTGGGGTGCATCCAGCTGAGTCCTGCGTGTGGCCTTTTAAAGGGCTGTCACCAGTGCAGCAGGGAGGGGAGCTGAACTAGCCGGAAACTGGGTCCCCACCATCCCTAGCTCCCTTGGTATCCACCTACTGGCCCTTGCTGTATGCAGAACGCACTTGGGGCGGGAGCTGACACAGGTGGCAAGTTTTAGGGAGGCCCTTCCAGAAAGCGTGGGCAGCACTGGAAGCGTTCGGGTTTGGTCCAGCTATAGATGAATGACGTCACACGCTGGACCTGGCCCAGCGTCACCTCAAGGACTGCGCTGCCTGTGGATCCAGTGTCGGAGAAGTGTACAAAGAATGCTGACTTGTGTGGTTTTGGTCTGTGAAGGGTTCCATCATCGTGGGGATTGACTACGACTGCCAGGAAGGCACAGTGTACTGGACGGATGTCGCAGGGCGAACCATCAGTCGCGCCCGTCTGCAGGCGGGAGCCGAACCCGAGACCATCATCAGCTCAGGTCAGCTTCCCTCCACAGCCCCACCCTGAGCCCACGTCCATGCCGGGGACTCTACGGGGCAGGTGCAGTTCTACACACACACTCTGGACTTGGAGCCCCAGGCTGTGGCCAGGGTTTACCATGCAGGCGCCCAGCACCCAGAGGCTGGGAGGTCTGTTAGTGTGGAAGAGGAAGAGGGCAGAAAAAGGAACCAGAGGATCTCATCCTGGGACTCGGAGCCCCTTGGTCAGCTGTAGCTGATGCTCTGCTTCAGGGCGCTGCTCCTAACTTACACATGTTCTTTGTTGCAGGGCTCCTGAGCCCCGAAGGACTCGCTGTTGACTACGTCCACAGAACCATGTACTGGACGGACAGTGGCCGGGACAGAGTGGAGAGGGCCAACCTGGACGGCTCCGAGCGCAGGACCCTCTTCGACGTGGACCTGGTGAATCCCCGCGCCATCGCCGTGGATCCAGCCGGAGGGTCAGCCGGGCTCCCCGCCTCTCCTTTCCCCTGTAGACCGACTTGAAGCCCTCAGATGGGAAGGCCTGGGTGGAGCAGGTCTGAGGTCACACATACACAGTCAGATGGCCGAAGGCCTGAGTAGGCTCCAGGGGCCGTTCCAGGCCAAGCTAGCTGTTGTTGAAAGCAGAGCTTGCATCCTGTTAGAGTGAGCAAGACAACGGTGTCCACTGACGAGAACGGGCTGCCTTGGGAAGTGAGGTAGGCCTCTTGGCAGCAGGTCTAGAAAGTGGGGTTCAGCCTGACAATGGGGCTTCCTGCTGCTGAATGGCCCGAGTGCCCAGAGCTCGATGCTGGACTTCAGTGGTTTCCCACACTGGGCGAGTATGTCTGTCTTTTCCAGTCACGTCAGCCAAAAAAATACCCTCTAACACCCTGAGCCAGGCCTGAATGGGACCATGTGACCCAGTCTTCCTCCATTGCTTGGTGGAATAGTTAAGCTTTCTTAAGTATTTCTCTCTCCGTAGATGTCACTCGGAAAGAACCCAGCAGTAGCTTGTGCCAAATGCTGAGGTTCTGTGTGCGTTCGTTCTGGGCTTCCTGTTTTGAATGGCCTTAAATCAGGTTGGGTGGGAGGAGCCAGAACCCAGGATGCACAGGAAGGACACACACAGGCCCTGCCTCCCCGCCCCCAGCTGAGCATGCATGGACAAGCCTCCAGCTGTGTTGTGGCACTCAGTGCTCTGGGCTTCCCCTGCCCGGCAGGAAGAGGTGACGCCTGTGTGACCCCTTCTCTCCCGCTCCTGGTCTCAGCTGCTCGTCCCGTTCATTGCAAGTCTAAGGGCTTTCCTGACTCCCCGTGCTTTAACTGTCAGCCTGTAATCCTTGCCTGCACCATTGGATTCTGCTATGTAGATGTAACAAGGGCTGCTGAGGAGGGACGAGGTACAGCAGGCGGGTCGTGTGGAGGGTTTCCACCCAAGATGCAGTGTACAACCTAGGCGGATCCAGGGCAGGGCCAGGATGTGCACGGGTCTGTACACAGTTACAATAACCAGAAGACTGCAAGGCTGTGGAGTAACTCTAGTGACACACTTGCCCTGACAGTACCACATGGGCCTGTATGCACAGGCTGCTGTGTATCCCCAGCACCCAGCTTCCTTAGCAAACCAACCAGGCACCCAGCGGTAATGCTGAGGGACAGCACACTGCTCCTGCCATCCTCAAGTGCAAGAAGCAGGACACGAAATCTAGCCCAAATTCAAGGTCATTTCAGGCTGTGAATACCAGGGCCTGCGATCACAGGCCACCCTGGATGCTATCTTCTATTAACTTCTTTTACAATCTTGATTTTTAAAATTTATCTACAGTAACTTGTACTGGACAGACTGGAATAGAGAAGCTCCTAAAATTGAAACATCTTCTTTAGATGGAGCCGGTCGAAGAATTCTGATTAGCAAAGACATTGGATTACCTAATGGCCTAACCTTTGATACCGTCTCCGAAATGCTCTGCTGGGCAGATGCAGGTAATGCTACCGGTGGGCAGGAGGTGGCGCTGTGTGCCAGTGGGTGTGAGAAGCAATATTTTGTAATGGTTTTTATAATAAACCAAGGGTTTGCTTTTTAAAGATTGGCTTGTTTGAATGGCAGAGTTAGATTGTGACCCCGCTGCTTCATCCTGAAGCCAGGAGTTTGTCCCAGTCTCCATGTGGTGCAGGGGCCCAAGCACTGGGCCGTCCTCTGCTGTGTTCCCCTGCCCGTTAGCAGAGCTGGGGTGGAGGTGGAGCAGCCAGGGCCAAATCGGTCCCCAGATGAGATGCCAGTGCCACAGGCAGCAGCTTTACCTGCTGCAACACAGCCCCGGCTCCCAAATTTTGATAAAAACCAAGAATGCTACCCAATAAATTGGACAAGTGATAGAATGGGAAATTTTAGTTGCTAATTGATGTGGTGGCAGTATACACTCTGTTGCTATTCTGCCCTAGTAGCAGACTCCTCAAGCCAAACAAGTGTAATTGAAAAAGTGCTTTTTTTCTCTTCCTTGGCATGAGAGGACTTTATTTCCACCACTGCCCTTTGATGTTTTAAAAGGAACCAGAAAACTGGAGTGTACACGGCGTGATGGAAGCGGCCGGCACGTCATCCAGAGTAACCTCAACTACCCCTTCAGCGTGGTCAGCCACCTGAACCACTTCTACTACACCGACTGGAGGAGGTGAGGCGAGGTGCAGACTGTCCCAGAGCACATGCCATCCTGAGAATAAGGGAGTGAATAAGAATAAGAATAAGGGAGTCCTCTGCTGAGCCCCCTCACTGTCCACCGGCAATAGCATTCCTCAAGGTGGTGCTTTGGAAGTGCTTCTGCTTTAGAGCGAGGAAGCTGTCTGGCAGTACTGTATCTAAAGAGGAAGCACATGAGTTGAAGTCTGGGCTTCCAAGACGACGTGATGTCCAAACTGTTGTAAGCTGTACTGACACTGCAGACATCACTTACTGCTGAACAGGAATGCTTTTACTCTTTCTCTGAAACAATCCCAGTCTTCCTCTAAGAGCAGGCAGCTTTCCGGGTGTACCCACACACATCCTGCTGGACTTGGCAGCAGTGAGCTCCGACCAGAGGGTCTCCTACTTCAGAGAGGTGTCCCCCAAACTAACAGGTGCCTAGGTGACACTGGTCTGGGAGCTACATTGTGAACTAATAAACCAACTTTTCATACCTAAAATGAAGCTAGGAAGCCAACACTTTTCTCTATGGAAGCTCACATTTTGTGTCTGACTTCTCTGCCTGCCTTCCTTCCTGGGAACAGGGATGGCGTCCTGTCAGTGGACAGACACTCCGGCCAGCTGACGGATGAGTATCTCCCTGAGCAGCGCTCTCATCTCTACGGGATCACTGCCGTCCACCCCTTCTGCCCCACAGGTAAATGCTTGGGCTGCAATTTCCATGGTAACGGATACAGACCTTGCTGCCAATAGAGACAGCTACTAGAAGCTGGCAAACTTTAAGGGCAGCACATACACAGGGAAGCCAGTCTTCACAACCCTGTTTTCCTAGCTCAACTATACATACACAGACTTGCTGTTGTAACTCAGTAACAAAATACCTACTTTGCCCGTTTCCCTCCCAGGAAGAAAATAAATACTGCACCAGCAGAGGACTTGGCGTTTACAACCAGAATCCTGACCCTAAAGAACATTCGCTGCAAAGAAAGTGAAAAAGGAATTGGCGGTTACAGTATCTGGATCTACAAAATGAACATTTTTTGTGAAAAGACAGTATATTTTGTGAAAAGTTTATACCTCAATCTTTACTACTACTGTATATTTCAGCAAAGGTTGTTACTGAAAGTTAAAACAGGTAACAACTGTTGCTTATTAAAGCAACTTTTTATTAACATTTATATAGTATTTAAAAAACCAAATTCATCTAAGAACAAATTAAGAGTTTAAGAGCATACCTGGCCAAGAACTCACATGTGGTCACAGACCCTGAGAGGCTCTGTGTAACTGATGGGAAGCGATGCCCTTAGCTTCCCGGCCAAACTTATAAGCTTTTACCTCTGCGGAAGTGCATTCCTATCAAAAGGTGCTAGGATTCAATTTTCAGTGCCTCTGAAGTACCACAAGTACTGCATTTATAAATGCCAAAGATGTAATGTTATAGTTCTCAATTTTTCTAGATTATTCCAATAAAAATTTAAATTTTCCTACAACTTATGGATCTATAGTTTCTTGTAATATTACAAGAAAAAGTCCACTTTCACAAACTTTATTAAAGAAAAAAAGCAGTGGTGGCATATCTAGAACAATTTCCCGGGCTTCCTCCCATGAGATTCCCAAATACATGCCACCAGTGACGTAGCGGGGAAGGCTGAGCTCACGGTTCATCTGCCTACTTTGCCCAGTCTGTGGTCTGTCTTTGGATCAGCGATGATCGCCTGAACGGCTACGATAGCTTCGTTGATTTTTGTCTGCAGCTCTCTAAGTTCTTCTATGTGCAGCAGTCGCAGAATCTGAGCGGCTTCATTAAGAACTGCATCTGGTTTCAGAAAAACATTCCATCAGAGATCTTGAAAAAGTTCACAGGAAACTGCAAGCATTACTTAGACCAGACCTTTTTTCCCTACAGTGTTTCCCTCAAATAGTCACTGTGTCTCAGAGTCTGAATTAAAATTCACTTACCTCCTGTGTCAAAACCAAGAATATGTTTGTCTAAAGCAACAGGCAAGCCCTTTAAAAAAGATGGGGGGGAGAGACACAGGAGACTACAGTTAACAACACTGTTTTGTCATCTAAAATGGAAAAGCACAGCTAGTCCTGAAAATGACCACAAGCCCCAAATGCTAGCTGTAACAATCACAAATAAGCACAATGAATTTGAGAACTTCTCTACTACATTATTCTGGGCTGGTGTTTGAGGTAACGTGAAGATCTGAAACAGCAAAACCAAGTTTTATCATGCAAACTGTGCGCTGCCTCCCACACTTCACACTGTGAAGTCAGAACCACAGATTGTTCTACAAGGTGGGAGAAAAAAGCTGAATCACGAATCCAGTTCCCAGTAGCCCGGTGCACCCCAAATGCTAAAGATGAAGCCAAGTGTTTCAGGGGACCCTCACAGCGCTGACATGTAACCTTTCACCCTGCTGGCCTAAGCTAAAGCAAGTCAGGGAAAATGCAGACCAAATTCCACAAGGGGAGACCCTTCCAACCGGGCAGTCACTGGCCCGCACGCCATGCACCATCACTGGCGGCATCTTCCCTTAAGTGCTCTTTGTTTTTTAAATTCCAGCATGCAGCCCGGAGACTGGGTGTGTTCACTGCACCTGGAACCAACTCAATTGCACTGAAACAAGTGAATCCTCTGTGCTACCCTAACACCAGATGGACTTTCAATAACAAGGCACTAACAATATATGTACATACACACCTCTTTTGTTTGGTTTGCTTTAGCAACTGCATCCTGTGTCAGGCGCTCTTGAACCAAAATGCGGATCGCCTAAGAAACCCAAAACAACATGTTTACTTTTTATACCCAGTTTAATGCTCTTTTCCTCTGGGTCTAGAAAAGAGCCTCAGCACTTGGTCTGATTAAAAATACTACTGGTTCTGTACATATTTGTGGTTACAAATGTATTACACATTGACTGCCACAGGGTACATACTCATGCTTGACAATTAAGCTTTTCCTTACTATCAGGCACTGTTTGAATACCTCAAGATAATTCACAAGAGACAACTTCTTGCCATAGCTGGTTTATACTTTCAAAGTCTAACACAGGAACCCGCACCCCGTTAACTGTGTGCTGTCTTGCTCCAGTTTCTGATGACAACCGAACCGTTCCATGACAACATATATTACCGAGGAAGGAACAAGACTTTGAAACAGCTAAATTTCATTACAGCAAGTTTAGTCCTGACATCCAATCTGGGTTCAGAAAATCCAAGATGACTTGCGGATTCAGTGCAGACTATCAGAGTCTAAGAATCAGCACTTCCCACATGATACCTATTATATATATTTAATATATATAATCCTAAATACTATCAATTCTGGTTTAATCTAACCTCAGCAAAATTGTCATTTTAATGCAAAAGTGCTTAATTTAAAATAATTCACAGGCACAAGGTCTTATCAAAAACTCTTAACCTCTTGTAAAATCAGTAACAATTCTCAGGAAAAACCTCAACAAAGCCTGGTATCTGGAGCGCCACTCCCCCGGACTGCTGGCCACTGCCCTCCACCACCATTAGCCATTCTTGTAACCTCAGTGAATACATCCGGGAAGCCGTGAACGCGCAGCACTCCGAGTTCTTATATTAAACACTGGTTCTATCACTTTGCATCACTTTCTGCGTCCTCTTTACAGTCTGTTTTTTTCCTGTATGCCACCCCCCCCCTTTTTTTTAAGATTGATTTATTTTTATTGCAAAGTCAGATATACAGAGAGGAAGAGAGATAGAGAGGAAGATCCATCTGATGATTTGCTCCCCAAGCAGCTGCAACGGCTGGAGCCGAGCCTATCTGAAGACAGGAGCCAGGAGCCAGGAGCCTAGTCCAGGTCTCCCACGCAGGTGCAGGGTCCCAAGGCTTAGGGTCATCTCTAACTGCTTTCCCAAGCTATAGGCAGGGAGTTGGGTGGGAAGCAGGGCCACCGGGACACAAACCGGTGCCCATTTGGGATCCCAGCATGTTCAAGCCTAGGACTTCAACTGCTAGACCACTGTCCCGGGCTCCTGTATGTCATTTTTTGACTGCTGAGAGGACTGCACGAGATCATCTCCGTCAGGGGCCGTGTGGGGGACCGTCTCTGTCAGGGTCCAGTAAGGGGCAGCATGGAGCTAACATTCCTCCGTATCAGCTATTAGGCAATCTACAGTGAGGAAATCTGTCTCGTGGCCCATACAGTCCTCCCCTGTACTCCAGTCACTCAACCCTAAGTTTAAATGTCCATCCAGTGGCTCATATTTAGAAAAATAAATACATTTTTTTTTTCTGTATACACAGAGTTTCTGTCAAGAATTAAGAGTGTGAAACTGACCTTAAGCATCACCAGGTAATCGTCATGACGCTGAATCTGAAGGAGGTTAGCCAAAGCCATCACACCAGCCTTGAAATCAGGATTATTTACTATAACAGATTAAGCATGAACACAGTGAACCAACAAGAAAACCCTTTACAGTTCCACAAACATAATTATGGAAAAAACTGATGAACACATAACTTAAAAATGTCAACAGTTAGACTGATGAGATAACTGGTCTTTCCAGTAATACATTTCATCAGTCAAAATGACTGAACTCCTGTTAGTTTTCCCTGTAAATTTCTGCAAGGCTCATCATAGGCAGCATTTTTAATTAACATTTCTTCCCAAGGTTATTCCTTCCAACCCACAGATCCCATCAATGGGCAGTTTTCTCTAGGCAGCAGCCCTGAAGTGTCCAACAGGCTTCCTCATTTTTGAGGATAATTCATCAGTTTTACGTCCCAAGGAACCAGCAGGCAGAGTACTTAACATATTACAATCTAGGTAATTAGAATCTCCACACCAGAAGACACCTGGGATCTAAGACAAGAACAAAATGTGAGGACTTCTCTCCTTGTATACCCAGGGAGGCAGAACAATGACCTCCGTGACTAAATAGAAAGCAAGAGATCAAAATTACTAGGAGTTAATCAAGTAAGAGCATGGTAACATGCCTAACAATGAAAATCACTGTCAGCACAAAGACGGATATATTTTTAAGCATTTTAGTTGAAAGGCAGATTTACAGTGGGGGAGAAGGAGGGAGGACGGGGGGAAGGAGAGGGAGAAGGTTCACTCCCCAAAGGGCCACAGCGGCAACCGCCTGGCGCTTCCTCAGCCTCCCCTGTGGGTGCAGGGTGCGGGCTCAAAAGTGGAGCAACCAGGACTTGAACCGGCACCCGAACGTGGCATCAGCAGCACAGATGGAAGCTTGACACTTGACTAACACCATGGTGCCAGTCCCAAAGTATGCTTAATATACTAAGACCTGTGTAAACCTAAACCTTAGGAAGTTTAAAAAACAAACAAACCTGATATTCAATTTCACCCTTTTAAATACTCACCATCCAAATTGATCAGTGGCTCTGCATTTTTAGTTGCATTATCGGCTTTTGCATTATCCAGTACTAAGTCCTTGTATTTTTCAGCTGTAAAAAATAAGCAAAAATGTAATTTGCACACTCAAAACTCTTACGCCATGTTTACTTGCTATTTATCTGTGTCAAACTTAATCATAATGCAATCCACCTGACCAGAATTATTTCTTGACATGAAAATCTAACAAAAGATGTGTCCACGGCTTAAATTAACTTAAATGATTACTTAAATACAGGACACAAATATTTTTATAAATGAAGACAATTTCAAACATGTGAACTATAGGGAGGCAGAAGTGTCCCTGTAAGCCCCCCGTGTCACTGGAGGCAGAAGAGTGGGAGGAGGCCAAGCAGAGACCACTGAACACTAAGCTTCCTCCCAAACCTTCTGAATGCTGTATGCTGAACGAACAGATCAAGTGCACCACGACATGGAAACCTACAACTCATTCCTGGAAACTTGAAATTCAGACTTAGGCAGATTTCACAACTCTCATTTGAAAAATAGTTAAGAATAACTTACTAATAAAGACACTTAATAATTCACTCAGCTGTTTAAATGCCCAAAACAGTATCTTAGGATATAATGGTTGTATGATTTGCTAATGAAACACAAGGGGAAAACAGAAGCATTAAGTTGAGGTCAGGAGTCAAAGGGACCCAGTTAGCCCCATCCAGAACCACACCATGACAAGCATTATGATCCACTGAATGAACAAAGAACCCACGCATCGGAACAGCTTTACAGAAACACACAACTCCTTAGAGTGCAAGGCCATTAAGTGACTGCAGAAGCAATGCTAAAACTAGAACACCTTCTGGCAGTAGCTAACACTCAGTTCATGAAGCTGACCCACACTGAGGGGATGCTTCCAAGCAGGGAAATGCGCAGACCCACACAAGCCAGTGTGCTAATGCGGAGGGGGAATCGGCCTCTTCGTGGGGAGACCTGCACCAAGTGGTCCAAGCTGATGTATCATCCCGGAGTCATTCTTAATCAAAGAATAAACCAGGAATACAGCCAAGAAACACTTTCAAGGAACACTCTACAAAGTAACGTGTCACTGAGTGTTCCAGATTACAGGAGACTAAAGAGAACACCTCCTAAAAGCCAGGGCTGATCTGTGCTCCTGTTAGGGAGCAGGGTGTGCCGAGTCCTGGATGGGACAGACTACAAAGATGCTACTGGGACAGTGGATGAAATGTAACATCTATAGATCACAGTATGGTAGCCAAGTTTGTTTCCTAATTCTGATCAAAGTACTGTGGTTATAAAAATGTCACTTAGTGAGAAAAGAAAATCATCTGTTATACTAGAGAATGATTTAGAAAAAAGCTACAAGTGTATGAGGATGAGTTAAGAAAATATACGTGTCTGGATGTGTGAAGGAAAGAAAAAGGGCTGGGCCCAGCACAGTGGCCTAGTAGCTAAAGTCCTAGCCTTGAACATGCTGGCATCTCATATAGGTGCTGGTTCTACTCCTGGTTGCGCCACTTCCCATCCAACTCCCTGTCTGTGGCCGGGGAAAGCAGAAGTCGGCTCAAAGCCTTGGGACCCTGCACTCACATGGGAGATCCAGCAGAGGCTCCAGGCTTCGGATTGGCTCAGCTCCGGCCTGTGCGGTCACTTGGAGAGTGAATCATCGAACAGATCTTCCTCTTTGTCTCTTCTCCTCTCTGTATATCTGACTTTGCAATAAAAATACATCTTAATAAAAAGGAAATGGGGTCTCAGGATGGGGCGTCTCATGCCTGGATCCCACGCCAGCCACCATGTGCACGTGGCAAGCTGTCCCCGGGTGACCAGTGCGCCATTTGGTGCCATGCTCCGCCTGCTGGCCACCCGGCCGGGGAACTCTGGGGTTTTGGTTCTTTGAATCGCTGCTTAGGTAGATCCAGGTTGAACCCACTGTGCTTCTAGGACATGAAGCAATCGTAAAGATCTCCAATGGCAGTAACTCTTCCTTTGAAAAACTTGTAATCACTGAACAATGCTGACCACCAAATACCAGTCCATGCAAAAGCTATGGCTCAGAGCTTGTCCAGCAAGATCATACCCTGTTACCTGACATGATGATGGATCAGGAGAAGGGTCACATTAAGCAGGGCCACTACATTAACTAGCACTAGAACAATAACCGGGGGCAGATTCTGTGAGGGATGTGTGGGCCAAACCCTTTGGAAATTCTAGCCCCACTGGTTAGCTCAAGAGATGGGGTGGTGATGGACTAAGCTAGGTGTCACCAAGGAGCCTGCCATCAACCACAGGTAAAGGAACCCCCAACAGTCTGGACTGGTCAGGGCAGCAGCACCCAAATGTGCATCCTGAATAAGGTGTGGGGTGAGCCAGGCTGCAACCAGCTCATACAAGACTAAATGGAAGGCCAGACTTCACCGGAAACTGGCCTAAACCCAATGGCATGTATAAGAACTGGGTCTGGGAGTGGATTAAGTGAAGGAACTTGGGAAACTCCCTCGGCGAATCATAGCTCCCACTGGTGAACATGTGGTCCAGACCTGAGGGTCGCACAAGCTGGACAAAGTAGCTCCAACAGCTGGGTAATGTGTCAATTAGTAATGGAACAGGGAGGACCGGGCAGGACTGAGCAAACCTTAGCCACAAGCGAAACTAGAGACCAGAGGGGAGCACAGGTCATGCTGAGCTAGGCTCTTGTACCTAGTGGTCTGCATGAGCCAGGAACGCTAAGCCACAGTGTCTAAGGCAGAGGTCGGGACAGATGAAGGACTGAGCCAAGCTGAGTCAGAACGACCACTGGCATGCGTGTGATCTACGGCTGGGAACAGGCCTGGTTGGGGAGCTAAGGGGACAACCCTAGCTGGGTTGAGGTTCCCATCAAGGGGTGTGTGGGCTGAAATGGGGGCTGCGTTCTGAATGGGGAAATGGTTGTAGTCTCCCTTGGCACAATTGTGGACTGGGACGGGATGCACAGAGCCGGGCCAGATTCCAACACCGCCTGGTGTCCTGGAGGACCAGGGTAGATGTGGGATGGACTAGGCAAGGTCTCAACCCCTACTGAGCCATGTGCGAGCCATATGTGGGTATGGACCAGCCATGGCTGGGCTGAAACATCCAACAGCAAGGACCAGTTTGGGTTGAAGGCCAGTCAGGAAAAGCCACTGTTCCTGCTAGGACAGGAGGTGAACTGAGTAGGGCTGGCTCATGGACCCCCTGGTATGCGCAAAATCTGGCATTGGGAGAGGTTCTGATGGAGGAGCCTGGGCAACTCCTCTGGCAGGACATGGTCCCCGCAGGTAAGCACAAGAAGCATGATAGGAAACAGCTCAGAACAGGCCATGGAGTTACCCACAGGCATACATCTGGCATGGATCGGGGGAAGACCAGGCTGAATCAGTTCACGTCATCCACTGGCAAATCCAGGCACCAGAACAGTGTGGGTCGAGCCAGGTTCGGTCGCAACAAAAACCAGTGCACAATTCGGAATGCCAAGGTGAGGATGCCTGTGTCAGAAGTGACTGCAGCACCCAACCAGCATACGTGAGAACCAGGAAGGGAGGGGGCAGAGCTAGCAGGGGGAATATAGGGGGGTTCCTTTGCTGGACAGCTACTCCCGCTGGAGAGCATGAGCTGGGATAGGGGCAGACCAGACTAAGCAGGGCTACAACACCTGTACGCCTCATGTGGACTAGATCAGGGAAAAGCCAGGCTGGGCTGATTATTCCTACTGGTGCAAACAAAATCAGAGTGGGTGAGGGTTGGTTGGGCTTAGCCACAGCATCAGCTGGCAGAAGCTGGCACTGGGGACTAAATCTGTCAAGTCAAACCACAGAACTACCTGGAGAGTGCACAATCTGGGAGTGGGAAAGGCCTGGGAGGGAAATAGTGGGCTCCTCCCTCTTGGGTTACCACTTCCACGGGAGGGCATGAAAACCAGGACAGGGGCTGGGGTGGAATAGGGTGTGGGACAGACTGGACTACTGCTACACATACTGGCAAACCAGGGTAGGGGGCGGACCTGATGGGGGTTATTGCGGGTCACTCCAACTAGGCTGCAGCTCCCACTTGTTTATGTGAGGGCCGAGAATGTGCTGGGCAGCACCAGGCTGGCTGGTTCCAGTGGAAGTTGAGGCTGAAAACAGAACCAACCCAGCAATTGCAACCACCAGCTGATCAGGGCCATAGACTGTGCCGAGCCCTGTACCTGCTAGTACATACAAGAATCTGGTCTGGGAACACCTCAAAGTTTCTTTGGGGATCTCCCCAATCAAAATGGTCAGAACCCTAACTAAGAAAAGAGAGAAGACAGAACAGGTCAATCAACCATCTCAGCTATATGTTGGCAGCGAAATATGGGGCAAACAGAGACTCTATGATGGACTATGTCAATCAGTGGATTCTTCAAAGACCTCATAGTGCTTGGAGTGGCAAGATTGACAGCAATTCATAACTGGTGAAATATCAAAACCATTTGAGCAAGTATCTCAGAACATACCCTACATCCGGGACCTGGGGAGGGTGGGAAATTGGGTGGGCCTTCTCCCTTAATACCTCCTTGAAACATGAAAGAAACAATAGGGAAATAATAGTCTTACCCACTTTCCTGTAGCCCTTGAATATTTTTACCCCAATTAATTATGTAAAGATTATCAAAAACATAATTTAAAAAGGTAAAAAAAAGCAAAATAAAATCATATTAAAAAAGGAAATGAAGTTAAATGTTGAATTTCTAGAATGAGTATTTAAAATAATGTATACTATTATAATTTTTCTGTAAATTTAAAACTCCACCAATAAAGTAAAATAGTCAAATAAATTGTCAAGCCACTGAAGGGCTTAAGAAAGTTAAAAGCACAAAATTTCACAATGGTTTTGACAAATATAAATCCTAAAATAGATGGCAGTCAATTACTGTAAAACCACAAAAGAACAACAGCGCCGACTACTGATGACAGACAGTATTACTACTTTAACCAACTCAAAGAAAGCTTTTGGGCCCAGCACAACTGCCTAGCAGCTAAAGTCCTTTCCTTGAGGGTGCTGGATCCCAAATGGGCGCCAGTTCTAATCCTGGCAGCTCCACTTCCCATCCAGCTCCCTGTTTGTGGCCTGGGAAAGCAGCTGGGGGACGGCCCAAAGCCTTGGGACTCTGCACCTGTGTGGGAGACCCAGAAGAGGTTCCTGGCTTCAGACTGGCTCAGTTCCAGCCATTGTTGTCACTTTGGGAGTGAAACATCAGACGGAAGATTTTCCTCTGTCTCTCCTCCTCTCTGTGTATCTGACTTTCCAATAAAAATCAATATATCTTTAACAACAAAAAAATGCTTTTGTTCTTTACAATTTTCAAACTCTACATCTGAGAAAGAACTTGTAAAAATGAGTTCTATGCAAAATAGCAGAAAGGAACCTTAAATACCTTGGAATAAGCCTAATCTAAGAGATAAAAAATCTCCATGATAAAAATTACAAAACATTAAAGAAATAGAAGAAAACACTAAAAGATGGAGAAATTTACTATGCTCATGGATCGGCAGAATCAACATTGTCAAAATGCAATATCACAGGAAGTGATTCAGAGATTCAATGCAATCCCAATCAAAATCCCAGGAACACTCTTCTCAGAGCTAGATAGGATGACACAAAATTTCACCTGGAAACACAAGAGACCATGGATAGCCTAAGCTGTATCAAACCACAAAAATAAAACTAAAGGAATCACCAAACCAATTTCAAGGTGTATAGAAGGGCAGTGCTAACCAAAACAGCCTGGTACTTGTACAAAAACAGAGCCGATCAACGGAACAGAACAGAAACCCTAGAGGGGAGCCCACACATGGAGTTAACTAATCTTTGCCAAGAGAACAAAAACCACCCAGGGAGAAAGGTTGGTCTCTTCAACAAAGGCTGCTGGGATAATTAGATTGTCTTTACAAGTAAGACAAGACCCCACCCCCACCTTTCATCTTAAACAAAAATCAGCCAGAAACCATCAAATTATTAGAGATAAATATAAAGAATGCTCTACAAGACATAGGTGTAAGCAAAGACTTCTTATAAAAGACCCCCAAAAGCACAGGAATTTCAGGCCATTAAGTCAAACCTCGAAGCTTCTGTACAGCAAAGGAAATGACGAACACAGAGGCAAGCAACAGGAGGAAGTGATCCACAGAGCGCAGGCAGACGGGGGCTAACTCCAGGCCTACAGAGAGCTTCAGAACCGGAACAGCAGCAAAGACCCAACCCCCAGACACGGGCAAGGGCAGTGAGCACGCTTTCAAAAGAACTAACTCAAAAGGCTACTAGACATGCTAAAAAATGCTCAGGTTCCCTCGCTATTAGGGAAATAGAAATAAAACCACACTGAGGTTCCAGCCAACTCCAGTGAGAAGAGCCTGCATGCAGACATCTACAAACAACTGCGGGCGAGGGTCCGGGGAAAGGCCCGGAGCCACCACTGCCGGGGGTAGACCCGCAGCCACTACGGAAGGCAGGGTGGAGTGCTCAGACAGTGAGAACTGACCTACCATCCAGCCTAGCTCCCCCACTCTTAGGAATGCATCCAAACGAAATCAGCATGTGAGACAACAAGCTGCAATCCTATTATTTGTAGCAGCACAATTCCAAACAATGAAGACGTGGAAACAACCCAAATGCCCATCAACAGATGAATGGGTTAACAAAAAAAAACCACTGGTACATCTACTCAGTCATGGCACAACTATGGAATACTACACAGCCATAAAAAATGAAATCCCAAAACAACAAAAAATGAAACCCTATCATTTGCAACAAAACGGTCCCAACTGGAGACCATTATTCTCAATGAAATAAGCCAGTCCCAAAAGAACAAATATCATTATATCCTCTCTGATATAAGACAGCCTTCATGCAAAGTACAAAATACATAGAGATAATATAATACATCCATAGATTCTCCTAGATAACCATCGTGAGGAAGCCACACTGGATGCAGATCCGTTGCAGTAAGCCTCTTCTCACAAATGAGATGGCTCCCAATGAAACATCCAGCCTTTGCAGAATGACATATCTACCTCGGCCTGCACCTCCCATCCATATGTGAATGGCAGGAAGTTACTCCTGCACCTGTGACTAAGGGCCTGCACTGCTGGGTAACGCGGGGAGACGGCAGGAGGAGCAAGTGGGGAGAGAGGAGAGGGAGGGAGGAAGCCCTCCAACCTACAATATTATTATGGAAAATAGTAATTAAAAAATAAGAGTAATGAGGCCCGGCGGTGGCCTAGCGGCTAAAGTCCTCGCCTTGAACGTGCCGGGATCCCATATGGGCTCTGGTTCTAATCCCGGCAGCTCCACTTCCCATCCAGCTCCCTGCTTGTGGCCTGGGAAAGCAGTCGAGGACGGCCCAAAGCTTTGGGACCCTGCGCCCATGTGGGATACCCAGAAGAGGTTCCTGGATCCTGGCTTCGGATTGGCATAGCATCGGCCGTTGCGCTCACTTGGGGAGTGAATCATCGGACGGAAGATCTTCCTCTCTGTCTCTCCTCCTCTCTGTATATCTGACTTTCCAATAAATAAAATAAATCTTTAAAAACAAGAGTAATGAAAATATGTTCCTTGCTACATTTCTAACATGCTTCTAATAACAGTTATCTTCCCCAAAGCATTTAATTTATAAATATCAAAAAGTCTGTAGTATCTCAGAAGCTTTTGTTTCTGAGACACCAATGTACTTGTGAGCAACTGTAGGTACAGGATCATATGGCGCACATCAGATAGACGTGAACTACACCCGTCAAAAGCCAGACATGAAATACGGACACAACACAGGGCTCAACACAGATGAACACTGCCCGGTGACACGGCTGTGACTCCTAGGGACAGCTGAAACAACAGTCCGCTTTACTTCTATCACCCCACTACAGGACAGCTAAAAAGAACTTTGTTAAACACCCCGACAACCAACGCTACTGCAAGGCCACAAGGCTTAACTATGATATTTACTAAGGAAAGCCCAAGAATTTTCTTTGTAAACTAAAACTGAAATACATTAACTCTAAACTTAGAGATTTCCTTAAACTTGTTTGCCATAGGCTTCTGATACTGAAGCCTGAACAAGGACAGAGCGGTTGCTCCACAAAGCCGGTGTGTGCAACACTCACTCCCTGCACTCTCCAGTTACTGCCGCTGTGACAGTGACACAGTGGAAACCACGCCAGGTGCTGTGGCAGACGGAATGCACCATCTGCCAAGCAATGCCATCCTGATGCCTGAGACCTGCGCAGACATCGCCTCGCGCTGGAGAAGGACCGGGGCCACACCGAGGGCTCCGGATGACCCACGTGGGCTGAGGTGAGCAGTGGCCCCCTCAGAATGAGGCACGAGGTGCAGAGCACAGAGCAGACGTGCAATGGGGGCACTGCTGGAGAGACAGCAAGATACTCTGCTGCCGGAGCGGGAAGACGGAGGGGCGAGAGGCCAGCAGGGAGGCGGCACTCAGTCCCCAAACCAAAGCAACCCTGCTGCCAACTTCAGCTCCTGAATCAATGTCAGACCTCTGGCCCAAAGTGGCAACTTGTGTCTCAGCTATCAGGTGTGTGGCGATTTGCAATAAGAGACTAACAGAAGTACCACACATGGAACAAAGCCAATGGTCAGCTTGCGACATGCTGGGCCAGGCAACAGAAGCAAAATCCACAGTGGTACATGACTGTAAAACCTACAACAGGACTCCAAGCTCCAGGAAATAGCACTGCTAAAGAGGTGCCGGAGCAGGATCCTAAAAGGATGGGCAGGCTTTAGACTACACACACGCCAAGGGAGAAAACAAGGATGTGAGCCTTATTTATAATCTATATATTTGTAAGGACGTGGTGCCGTCACTCGGGCCGCCTGGCTAGTCAGCAAAGGCCTTGATTACCACACGAAGGAGCCTCGGGCGTTGGTAGAGAATCAGTTATTAGTGAGGAGTCTGTGTAACTGGAATTACTCTTTGGAAACAAGGACCACGCAGCACTCCTGAGCAGATTTCAATTTGAGCAAGCTGGCAGGCCGGGCCCAGCAGCTGATAACAGAGGGTTTAGGAGTGACAGGAGTCTGCACAGCTCCGAGGAGAGGGAAAGGGCAAGTCCTTGTCCCACAAACGCCTGCCGAGCCGGTGCCCAGGAACACAGGACGCAGGCCAGAGGGCACGCTGCAGCCAGGTGCCGGCAGGCGCGACGAGATACTCCATTGAATGAGAAATGTTTGCTAGATGGACATGAACACTCAAAAGCCTCCAACAGCGTACGAATCTGTGGTAAAACAGGAAGTAGTGTGTACTGGTGCTGGGCCCTCGCTGCAGCTCTAGTGGAAACGCCAGCTGCGAGCAACACCCCACATCACCAGCACTCCGGGAACACTAACCAGACCATGAAAGGTGGCAAATTTACCCAAGCAATGATACACAGGAAGGACCCGAGACTTGTGTACGTCCCTCCTCGCTCCCCAACTTTGCTCTCACTCTCTTTAAATCACCGAGCCCCCACAAAACATACCATTATCTCCATATTCAAGTCTAACAGCCAAGCCGAGGAGCCAGTCAATTGCTTCCTGTCGGTCTTGAATCTTGAAAGGACAGTTGACATCTCTAAGATACTGAGGAGAAAAAAAAAAATCATTTCATTACCACGGTTACAAACCAAAAGAATCCTGGAGTTCAAAGAGCTCTTTGGCTGTCTAACCATTTCTTGTAATATTTATATTACCGCACTTCCCATGCAATGAAGTAATCCAAAGGAAACATTCACCAACAGCAGGCCCGGTGTGGAGGCCTAGCACCTAAAACCCTCACCTTGCATGAGTCAGGATCCCATATGGGTGCCAATTCTAATCCTGGTAGACATGCTTTCCATCCAGCTCCCTGCTTGTGGCCTGGGAAAGCTGTCGGGGACAGCCCAAAGCCTTGGGACTCTGCACACACGTGGGAGACCTGGAGGAGGATCCAGGCTCCTGGCTTCGGAACAGCACAGCACCAGCCATTGCGGCTGCTTGGGGAGTGAATCAGCAGATGAAAGATCTTTCTCTTTATCTCTCCTCCTCTGTGTATCTGACTTTCCAACAAAAATTTAAAAAGTCTTCAAAAGAAAAAAAAAAAAAAACATGAGCAGGCCAGCCGTTAGCAGGAGGTGAAGCCACCACCTGGATGCGGGCATCCCGTGCTCCAGCGGCTGTGTTCACACCCACCTCTGCCCGCAGCACGGCTCAGCTGTGTCCTGGCCATGCAAGGTTGAGACTAGACTGTGCCCCTGGCTCAGGCCTGCCCCAGCCCCTGCTGCCGAGGGCTTTTGGGGCAGGGGGGAATCTGTGGATGGGAAATCTATCTCTCTGCCTTTACAAAACATTAAATAAGCTGTGAAAGGAAGAAAAGCATTGTGTCGGGCCCGGCGGTGTGGCCTAGAAGCTAAGGTCCTCGCCTTGAACACACCAGGATCCCATATAGGCGCCGGTTCTAATCCCGGCAGCTCCACTTCCCATCCAGCTCCCTGCTTGTGGTCTGGGAAAGCAGTCAAGGACGGCCCAAGGCCTTGGGACCCTGCACCCGTGTGGGATACCCAGAAGAAGTTCCTGGATCCTGGCTTTGGATCGGCATAGCATTGGCTGTTGCGCTTATTTGGGGAGTGAGTCATCGGACGGAAGATCTTCCTCTCTGTCTCTCCTCCTCTCTGTATATCTGACTTTCCAATAAATAAATAAATCTTTAAAAAGAAAAGAAAAGAAAAGAAAAGCATTGTGTCATGCTTTTCTGAAGTTTGTACCTTTGTAGGCTGCAGGCAGACACGGAATCTAGGGCAGTTTGTGCACTGAACAGACACAGAGACCGAGTCTGGCCAGTCACTGTTCAAGACCCATCTGGGACTCCAAACTGAATTTTCTGATTAGAGTTCCCAAGACACACTAAACAATTAAATGGGACTTTTAAAACTTTTTTAGTTTATCCACTGTGTTTATTTGAAAGACAAAGAGAGACCTATCCACCAGCTCATTCAACAAATGCTCCCTAAAGCCAGGGCTGGGCCCAACCGCAGGTAGCCAAGAGTCAGTTCTACTGGTATTCCATGCAGGTGGTAGGGACCAAGCCACTGTCTGCCGCTCCCCAGGACGTGGCTCACAGGAAGCTGGGAGTGGAGCGAGCACAGCTGAGGTATGGCATTTCCACACGCATGCCCAACTACTCCACGGAACACCCATCCCACAACTGAGCACCCGAAACAAACCTAAGGCCCTGTGTTAGCGCTTACTTTCAAATTCCAACAATATTTTCAGGCAGAATTCTGGAACTTCCATTTACAAATCTTTTCAGGAATAATGGAATCAGCAATCATTAACCACATCATATTTTTAACTATCCTCTTAGAAAAACCTTGCAACTATTTCTTTTTTTAAAGAGCAATATTAAGAATACTGAAAAGATCCAAGCCCAGTGCCATGGGCGCTGGTTCTAATCCCGGCAGCTCCACTTCCCATCCAGCTTCCTGCTTGTGGCCTGGGAAAGCAGTCGACCCAAAGATTTGGGACCCTGCACCCATGTGGGATACCCGGAAGAAGATCCTGTTTCCCGGCTTTGGATCAGCATAGTATCGGCCGTTGCACTCACTTGGGGAGTGAATCATTGGATGGAAGATCTTCCTCTCTGTCTCTCCTCCTCTCTGTATATCTGACTTTGTAATAAAAATAAATAAACCTTAAAAAAGAAAAAAATACTGAAAAGATCTAACACACGATGCGTAAAGTAATTCCAAAGGAGAAGTTCTAGAGAGAACTTACAAAATGACATCACCATTCTCTCTAAGGAGACCAGTTCACAGGGACGTGGTGAGTCCCAACACATTCACCTGCAAGTTCTAACTTTACTGTCACTCCTGGAACTTACATCAGAAACAACTATTCCTCACTCTTCTGTATGTGAGATTTCCTATTGTCTTACACACACGAACATGTCATAAGATTAAAATCCTGAAATATATGTCAAAGTCTCAAGAAACCCATGAAAACTCGAGAAGTATTTCCTGAACAGCAAAGGGAGTAATCGTACAACAGCAGTATCCCACACGAGCATGGGTTCAAGTCCCAGCTGCTCTATTTCCAATCCAGCTCCCTGCTAACGCGCCTGGGAAAGCAGCAGAAGGACCAGCCCTGGGACGCCTGTCACCTACACTGACCTTCAGATGGCCTGGCTCCAGCTGTCGCAGCCAAGTGAGGAGCCAACAGATGGCAAACCTCTCTCCCTCTAACTCCAGCTTTCAAAGAGATGTTCAAATACATGAACCTTTAAACAAAATTAGCGTTATTTGGTACAAAAAGGGTTTTTTTTTAAATTCATGCGGTTTCCACAACACACATTTTCTGACCTTTACAATGAACCCCTGTGGACACAGATCTCCCATTTCCTGCACCAGAACAGACCAACCTTCCCTCTACAAAGAACTCTTTGAGTACAACGCTAATGAAGCGCATGTACAGACAACACTAACACTGTGGCACCTGGCACTGCCACCCGCATCCTGTGGCACCTGGCACTGCCACCCGCATCCTGTGGCACCTGGCACTGCCACGTGCATCCTGTGGCACCTGGCATTGCCACCCGCATCCTGTGGCACCTGGCATTGCCACCTGCATTTACTTATGAGAAAAACCAAAATGTACACACCCAAGGTCACAGCATGGGTTTATCTTTAACCATTCCCCCAATTCAAAAAACCACTGCATATAAGGACAAAGCTGTTTAATCACTTTGCTCTTAAAAAATCAAACCAACAGGTGGTGGAAACCTTTAATAACAAGTAGGGACATTGTAAAATTTGATTTGTATTCTAATTTGAAAATAATTTTTTTCCAGGGCTAGCATTGCGGCATGATGGGTTAAACTACCACCTGAGGAAGTGGCATCTTACGAGGCTTAGGCCTGACCCAGCCAGCGCCACTGAGGCCATTTGGGAGTAATCCAAGGAACCCAAGAGATCTCTGTCTCTTCTAACTCTGCCTTTCAAATACATGAAAAATACACCTTAAAAAAAAAAACTTTCCATACAAACATCACCAAATTAAACTACCTCAACGGAAAAAAATTCAGCAACAAAACCATGACATACACACAGACCCTTTAAAGACAACATCTGGGTCCAACGCAGTAGCCTAGTGGCTAAAGTGCTCGCTTTCCTTGCACAAGGATCCCGTATAGGCACTGGTTCTAATCCCGGCAACCCTACTTCCCATCCAGCTCCCTGCTTGTGACCTGGGAGAGTAACTGAGGATGGCCCAGAGCCTTGGGACCCTGCACCCGTGTGGGAGATCCAGAAGAAGCTTCTGGCTCCTGGCTTCAGATTGGTTCAGCTCTGGCTGTTGCAGCTACTTGGGGAGTGAACCAAGTCTCTCCTCCTCTCTGTAAATCTGACTTTCGAATAAAAAAAAAATAATAAATCTTAAAAAAAAAAACTACTTCTACTGTATGCAAAGGGCATGTACAATAAATATGTAAAAATTAGCTTGAACATGACAGTCTCATTTTTCAATATATCAGTAATGCCTCATTATCTCATAAGATAAATTACTAAAATGTATGATTATTACGCTTTTAGCCAAATATAAAAATCCTTTTGTTTTTATTTTTTTAAAGATCAGCCAGAACTGGGCCAATACGAAGCCAGGATCTTCTGAGTCTCCCACCAGGACGAAAGACTCATGCCCTGAGACCACCTCAAGCTGCTTTCTTGAGGACACCAGCTGAGAGCTGGGCTGCAAGCAGAGCAGCCAGGAGAGGAACAGGTGCTCACCGAGGCTGCTGGCTCGGCCTGCCCAGGAGACGGACAGGTGCTCACGCAGGCTGCCAGCTCGGCCTGCCCCAGGAGACTGACAGGTGCTCACGCACGCTGCTGGCTTGGCCTGCCACACACAACACCAAGTCCCTAACATGAACACTCTGCCCTGCGCCATTTATGAAAAACAATGCAAAACTACTTATTAGGACACAGAACAGGAATTGCAAAGTGAACTATTTCTAGGTAATACTGAAGGTTAGGAAGGGATAATATAATTTTCTCTACAATCAAAAGCGGCATGATTAAAAAAAACCAAAAAATAAACCCTGAACCGCAGACACCAGTTTTTGCAGCAGTGATCACTATTTTAAAGAACAAAGCCATCGCAGGCTTGTTTTTACGAAAGCTCCCGTTTTTCTTCTACTTCCCCTCACTCTTTACCTTTTCAAAGAACTTGGGCCAGTCACTGCTGTGGATGTTTCTTAAATTTCCTCTGTCTTCAATCTTGTAGTGTCTGATTTTCTGATCTTCAAGCCAAACGATAAAGTTTCTAAATTCTGTTTCATCTGCAATAAAAATTATCATTAATTACATCGCCAATAATATCCACCAGAACACTTCCTTCTCCAGATAACTGGTTCTGTCGACTTTGCCAATTGCCAAAACACAGTTCACGGAGCTAGAAGGAGCTGAAGTAAAAACCGGTGGGTCAGTGCTGTGAACCGCCACCTGCAGCACCCAAAACCCAACAGGGTGTGCGTCCAGGTCCGGCTGCCCTGCTCCCCATCCAGCTCGCTCTGCACGCGGACCGACCCACGCGCTCGGGGCCCCTGCGCTCCCACGGGAGACCCAGAACCTCCACACCTGCCCAAGCCTGGGCTGGTGCAGCCATCTGCGGAGTGACCGAAGATCGACGGCCCTCCCCACCCCGTTCCTCTTTCAAACAAAATAAACATAGTTTTTTTTAAAGTACACACTGGAGGAGTCACGCATGAGCAAACACTTGAATAACATTCAAGCACCAGTTATGTGGAATGCGGACAAGCTGCCTGCAGGTTTTTTTAATTGCAAAGTCAGATGTTCAGAGAGGAGGAGAGACAGAGAGGAAGATCTTCTGTGCACTGATTCACTCCCCAAACGGCAGCGACAGCCAGAGCGGAGCCGGAGGGCTTCTTCCGGGTCTCCCATGTGGGTACAGGGTCCCAAGGATTTGGGGTTGTTCTCCACTGTTTTCCCAGGCCACAAGAGAGCTGGACTGGGAGCGGGGCCACAGGGACACAAACCAGTGCCCATTTAAGATCCCAGCACATGCAAGGCGAGGACTTTCGCTACTAGGCTACCGCACCGGACACCCCACCAGCATATTCCATGTCCCAGAATTTCCCAACTACAAAATGGGTTAAGAACAGGACTTAGCATCCTCACGGAACTTTCATACAAGGAACCAAGTGCCTATGTAGCACACAGCTTTTCTGTTTTAAATGCTACTAACATTCCAGTTCCTTCCCAGGGGGAGAGGAGAGATGGGACAAAGCTAAATTTTTAACATAGTAACAAGCTAAAGTGAAACACTAAAGAAACTAAAGCCTGCACACATTGGGACTACAGGCAACGTGTTGTTACCTGCCAATTTAGTGCACACTGGGCATAGCCCCATCGCACATCCTAACCACATGATGGTCCTGATTTACACACAAGATAACCGAGCCTTGAGCATGCAAACCCACTGAGCTACACTGCCACTGACGCTTTGCAATTAAGTAAAAGGCAAGGAAGAAAAACCAGACACTACAAAGCAACAGGGAGACGAGGGGGGGTAAACAACACCCACCCAGCTGAGAGTGCCCAGCTGAGCAGGTAACCAGAAGCTGGACCTAATGATCCCCTTCAAACTTAGCAAGCTAGCAACAGCTACGTTCGTCAGCAGTATCGTCGCCCTCTATAATTTCAATACCATTAAAAGCCTTATCCCTTAGTTCTCCCGACGCGGTCTCCCTGCTTTCCCGCCACCCACTTTCATGACCCTAGGCCGGGTCAGCAGCCCGCCCAGCTGCCATTCCTTCCCTGCACCTGCGAGCTAGGCCTCCCAGCCCCTGGGCTCGGTGCCTGGCAATGAGCGATACTTAACTCAGCACCGTCCCCGGCCCCCAGCAGGTGCGCGAGGTTCTGCCTCACCACCCCGGCTAGCAGCTACCCAGGCACAGGTGGCAGCCGGTGTGACAAGCACAAGACGGCGAGCGGCGACGCCGAGGCAGGGCTGGGGAGCACAGGGGGCCGGGGGCCCAGGGGGCGTCGGGGAGCACGGGGAGGGGGGCGTCGGAGCGCACAGGGGGCCGGGGGACGTCGGGGAGCACAGGATGTCGGGGGGCACAGGGGGCGTCGGGGGCACAAGGGGCCGGGGGGCACAGGGGGCGTTGGGGAGCACGGGGGGGGGCGGCGTCGGAGCGCACAGGGGGCCGGGGGACGTCGGGGAGCACAGGATGTCGGAGAGGACAGGGGGCCGAGGGGCACAGGGCGTGGGGGAGCACAGGGGCCAGCGGAGCGTCGGGGAGCACAGGGACGGGGGGCACAGGGCGTCGGGGAGAACAGGGGCCGGGGCCCAGGGACTTTAGGCAGAAACGCGGCCGCCAGCCGAGGGTCCCGCCGCTCCCCAGGGAGGAACCATGGCCGCCGCCTCACCTTTGCAGTTGAAGCCGGCCGGGTTGTGGTAGTCGAGCGCCGTCAGCTTGCGGCGGAACATGGTCCCCGCTTCTCGCTCTGGCCCCCCGGAGTCCGGCCGGGAGAGGAGAAGCGAGGCGAAGCTGGCGGCCGAGGAACCGGCGACGCGGCGAGGAGGGCGGGCCGGCGCCGCGACGCTGCTCCGGAACGACAGCGGCCTTCGCCAATCAGGGCTTCCAAAGGCGGCCGGCGGCCATTGCCAACCAATCGCGGATCCGGATGCGGGAGGCGGGGCCACGTCCAGGCGCATCGACGTTCAACTAAACTTTATTGTTCACTTCCTACTTGTACAAAAGCAGCAGCTGGGAAGCCAGTCTACCCAGGCTTTCTTCTTGGTTGTCAGCTAAAACTATGATTGAATGGGATATGTAGGCCTTGACTGGATCCGAAAATTGCGTATTTACTATTCTGGCTACTTTCATTCACTGCATGCATTGCTCTCCGCACACAATAATACTTGTAACACTGGTCATATAAAGATTCCAAAACAAAGCGTCTAAAATCGTTACTTTCAGATTAGGGCGAAACCCACAGGCAAACATGCACAGGTATGGGATCATAGCGGGTTTCACCAGCCGCTATGAAGTCAGAACCACGAAGTCATCTTTCGGCACCCCTAAAGATGTCTAAAGATGGGGACCCCCAGTAGGTCACCAAGTCCTCCCACTCCTTATCTCAGTCCTTCGTGTCCTCCCTCAGATCAAGCTTTCGTCATGTTCGCTTCGTCTCAGTGATTTCTGGGGCCCAGTCCTGTCTTCTGCAAGCACGGCCACAAAAACGATGGTCTAAAACCTGCCTGTAACATTTTTTGTGAGGCATCTTTTAGATGTGTCCGTTGCCTTTTAGAAATAACAAAAAGTCCCCGGAGTATTTAAGATCCTTCCTGATTCAGGGCGCTCCTGCTTTTCAGGCGCTGGCAAGGAGGCCGTAAGCTAGCCAGAGCAGGCGCCTCCTTTTCTAGTGGAGCTGAGGACCCAGTACATGCAGGGGGCCCTGATGGAGAAAGGCCTCAGACCCCCAAAGGTGGAAATGGAAGTTCCTGGGCGCTAAACCACCTCTGTGTGTCTCCTTCAACTTCAGAAGATAAGAACTAAACACCATGTTAACATCAAATGGATCGACAAATGAATACACCCTAGTCTGTCGAGTCAGGAGGTTTAAGTACGTTGCCAACACACATGTGGAACCTGGAGCTACAAAGGGTTACATGAACGAGAAGAAACGCAAAGTATATTGTAAGGTCACAGCATGCTTCTGGAAGGAATCAAGAAAATCTCACATGTTTTACACCCCACAAAGTCCAATCAAAGGTGAAGCCATAATCAGTCATACACTGCAATGCATGCCAGTTGCATAACTACAGAAACACGTGAAAAGTGTAAAAAATGAAACCATCAAGGAAGGGAAAAGAATAAAGGAAGAGTTCATAAGATTACACTTACCGCATTCTTTAAAACAACAAAATCAGTTCTTGGAACAAAAAGGCTAAGATACACAAGCGAAAGGAACAGGACAGCAGGACAAGGTATACGCACCCACACACCCCTGCAGAGAGCCGCAGGCCCTGGGTGACCGTGAAGGGCTGTGCTTGCCGCTGGAGCTTGCATTTCAGAGCATGCTCCGGGGAGAGTTCACCTTGCAACACTGCACTGGGGAGGGGGTGGGGGAGGAAGGCCATCCACCAGTCAACACAGGAAATTCCAGCTTCAAACATACAATGCGAGAGAAGGAATAATGCGTGCGTGAGCAGAGAGCGCCACCTGCCCCTTCCCTGTGTCCCGGCTGCTCTCCAGCTCTACGGGGAGGCCAAACGCGTTCTTCCTGACTTCTCATGTAGTTAGAGCTTTCCTTTGAGCCACTGCCACCGCAGGCTAGTTATTGGGAAATACCCAAAGCAGAGACCCACTCTGTTTTCTAGGCTGATATTGTTATCCTTGGCTTTTGAAGTGTACTGTAATGAAAACAACTATGCTGTTTGCTCCTGGCCCAACCTTCCTGTCCTGGGGCTGCAAATTGCCATCAACTTGACACTGGTGGCATGTTCCAGGGATTGGGGTGGGGGAGGTGGGGGCTACAAGGAGAATTGCTGAGAGGACCACCAGAGATGATTTTGAAAAGACAGTGTGTGAGATTCAGGAAAATTAGATTTTTTTTTTTTAATTCCAAAATGCAGATTGTTTCCCTGTCTTCTCCTGGAGTTGTCTGGCCTATCCCGAGTGATGTATCCAAGGAAAGAAATCTTGGACAGTCCCAGTTTGAAGACCGAGCCTCCTACATAGGTCAGGAAGAGCAAAACAACCTTGATGATCACACGCCTGAGCTCCAATGTCATGGCCCAACAGAGGCTTGATCAGCCAGTGTGTACCTGGGGGACTGTTGAGCACGTTCAAGTGCTGACTGTGTGACCAGCAATCTCCCTTGCAGGCTGGAGGACTGTGTGAACTGGCATGTGACAGTCCCCACCCCTAGGGAAGCCACCGTCTGCAAAGGGAAGACCAACAGTTCAATGGTAAGCACACTGGTTATTGCTTTAGCAGGTGCTAGGTCTGATGGGAAAATCACCACGAGGTCAGGATGGCAGGTGGGGCAGCCAGAAGCTGATGCAGTCTGCAGTTTGAGTGCAGGAGTCAGGCTAGGCTTCATTGAGAAGGCTCCATGGAAAGTGGGGCTCAAAGGAGGCAAGGGACTTAGCCACACGAACACGCAGGGGAAGACAGTTCCACTTGGAAGGCTCCCCAAGAAAACAGGGTAAGAAATAACTGAGAATGTAACCTAGGAAACCCCAGTGCTTCCATGGATCTGAAAGAGTCATGGGAAATGGGGAGAGTGGCAGGAAGAATGAGAACAGGAGCAGGTGGCATCCCAAAAGGTGAGGGAGGGTTTGTAGAGGCAGAGAAGGGGCAGCACAGGGAACATTAACCTTTGGGTGGGTGACAGATGCCTGTGGAAATTGTCCCTAAAAAATTATACAAGATCTGCCTGGGCATGATTCAAAATAGCTAAGAGTAAGACTTTGGGGCCAGTGTGTTCATTGATGGTGCCCCCATCTGTGCCCTCAGGCCAGGCCTCTCCTGAAGCCCTGATCTGGCTTCCAACCTGGGATCCCACCATCCCCGACACTGTCATGGAGCAGCGTTCCCCAAGACAAAGCCGCCTCTTCCATCTGTGCTCCAAACCTAACTTCCAGAACGTCTCAAGTCAGGGCCCTTCCACAGACCATGGGAGGCCTGGGAGGCCTCACTGCCCCTAAACCAGACGGTGGAGAACAGGCCAGGTTCTGCAGTCACACGGCTTGGTCTCAAAGCCCAGCTGTGTGGCCTGGGGATGTACAGTTCTGTCCTTGTTAAATGGGAATAGTAGCCGCGCTTGCTTCTGGGCAGGGGAAGAGTGAACATTAAACCATGCATTCATCGTCCCACGGTATATATATGTACATGAACATAATTAACTCATATCTCGTGTGTATACTGATGCATGTATAATGAATTAATGTGCAGTTTACATGCCTGTATATACATGTGCATCTATGTAAGTGTCCATATGTGTTTGTGTATGTGTGTAGAGTGCTGGCAATAGTACCTGGCATGCAGCAAGTATTTTATGATTTTATTACTCTGAATGGAATGAGTTCAAACTATGTCCCATTCCTTTGTAAGAAAACGTATTGATGAGGCCCAGAGGTAGGGAGAGCTAGACAGAGAGAGGGGGCTGCTATCTGTTGATTCATTTTCCAAGTGTCCACCACAGCCATGGCTGCGAGCGGAGAGGACCACTGAGGTCTCCCTCAGCAATGGCAGGAGCCCAACTACTTGAGCCATCCTCGCTGGAGGCAGGACTGAGCCCAGGTATTCAGATATGAAGTGGGCACATCTTCAGTGCCAGGCTAGATGCCTGCTCCTGAACCTAGTGTGGTTTCTTTCCACAGAGTGCCAGTACCTCTGTCCTCTGCCACTTTGCACCTGCTCCTCTCTCTGCCCAGAACACACCCCCGGAGAGTTAACTCCTCCTGCTGGTGGGATTCAGGGCTGTCACCACCTTCAGGCTGCCTGGGAACCTCTTCTCCAGCTGTTGGTGGTAGAGGTCCCTCGCTTCTTATCTGCCCCTACTATCGGACCAGCGGCTGCAGGAGGGAGGCTTGCATCTTACTACCTCCGTGTCCCAGCTTCTAACACAGTGTCCTGGTGCAGAGTACAATGACAACTTATGGAGGCATTGCAAGCGATGCAAACATGCCACAAGCAGAACCTGAGGATGGATGTGGGCACTGGGAGAGGGCCGTGTGGAGGACCTGTGCTGGCCGGGGGCCACTGTGCAACAGGAGGAGCCCCTTAGCTGATGATGGAAGAGGCAGGGGTCCCAGAGGGTCACATCCCTGTTGGGGTCTGTGCAGTTGATGTGGGGGGAGACGCAAAGGTGTGAAGACTATTGTTCCATTGCAGGCAGGGCTGCAAGGAACTTCCCGCTGTTTGGCAGGGCCCGGTGGATGTCTCTACAACCACCTGAATGCAGCTCCACCTTCCTTTGCATGGACACTGGACCACCCCGCTGAAGAACTCTAATCCATTCAGGCATTGTTTGCTACTGTGGAGTTGGCTTTTTTACTCAATGCGAGCTTGGAGGTTAATGTCAATAATAATATCTTGCAAAAGGGCCTTCTATTATTCCTACTGTCTTAGCTGTCCCCATTGACCTTATGCTAATCAAGGGATCTATATTTAGGCTTTCATTCTTTCCTTGATCTTTAGGTCCTCTTCTTTGTGATACAAGATTAAGTTGTAGAATAAAAATTGTAGTAGGAACTTCTATTGTTTTTAGGCAAAACAGATGGCAGAATTATCCTTAGAAATACCCACTTGACGTAGAAAGTCTGAGCCGGAGTTTGTTTCTGTATAAAGCGGACAGCTTTCCCCACATTGTCCATTATCATCACGAAATCGTAGTGGTCCATTTCTTTCCTCTTTACGCCTCATCCACGCATCCTTCTCAAGTTCCGAACTCGGCTAGAGCTGGACTCCAGCACATCCCTGATGAGGCTCCTGGCTATGCCTCGCCCGTCTTGTCTCACCAAGGCTCTGCACATTCGAGTCAGATCTTGGCGCCTAACTGACCATGACCTTGGGGAACAAAGTCCTTCAGCCTGAAGTTCCTCATCTGTAAAGTGGGGGTTCAGTGAGGTGCCCCAGT